TGGGAGCCCACGCATTGTAGGGTTAGCATGTGTATGTATTTTGGGTGCTTTTTAAGCTCAATATACTACACTACATTTGACCAATAAGATGTGAATTTCTATATAAATATGGAAATCCAGTCTGATTGGTCTTTGAATGTTTAACCAGAAGATTTAGAATTCTTAGTTTATTCTGGGATAGTAAGACGCTTTGTATTAATTCAGAGAGAGTCAAGTTTATAAAAAGTAAGAAATTTATTTTCTAAACAATTAAAAACATGACAACTAGGAAACACTTTATGTGATAAATGAATCTAAGTGGATGGAATGTGAGGTGTGATGGTGTGTTAATGTGATGTTGTCAGAACCTTTGTATCTGGAGAAACTGAGTTCTGAGTGGGAGTGAATTTGGTCTGCTATAAACTATAATTCAGGGGTGTCAAACTCAAACTCACAGGGGGCCGAAATGAAACTCTGGGACGGAGTCGAGGGCCAAACTTAATATTTTTTGAAAAAGTGACGGCAAATTTGTACATTTTCTTTATCAACATGTATGCAATTTTGAACCTTTAAATTTGGAAACAAACATTTCTGCATTAACACTGAATGTGGAATAACCAAATTACACACGAGCAAGTCCGTTTTAAATTAAAGGCATCAGTGGTATTCATTACTTGTGGTATATTCAGCATTTTTAAAATCTATTCAGGATTTATGTTTTCTTGTTTATTCATTTTTCTTATTTTTATTCTCCTTTTTTTCTCCTGTAATACAGGTGCTGGCCAGTAAATTAGAATATCATCAAAAGGTTGAAAATATTTCAGTAATTCCATTCAAAACGTGAAACTTGTACATTATATTCATGCAATGCACACAGACCAATGTATTTCCGATGTTCATTACGTTTAATTTTGATATTTATAGGTGACAACCAATGAAAACATCAAATCTGGTATCTCAGAAAATTAGAATATTCTAAAGGGCACTGAAAAAATGTTTGTTTCTCTAATGTTGGCCAACTGAAAAGAATGAACATGAAAAGAATGTGCATGTATAGCACTCAATACTTAGTCGGGGCTCCTTTTGCCTCAATAACTGCAGTAATGCGGCGTGGCATGGACTCGATCAGTCTGTGGCACTGCTCAGGTGTTATGAGAGCCCAGGTTGCTCTGATAGTCGTCTTCAGCTCCTCTGCATTGTTGGGTCTAGCGTATTGCATCCTCCGCTTCACAATACCCCATAGATTTTCTATGGGGTTAAGGTCAGGCGAGTTTGCTGGCCAATCAAGGACAGGGATACCATGGTCCTTGAACCAGGTGCTGGTGGTTTTGGCACTGTGTGCAGGTGCCAAGTCCTGTTGAAAGGTGAAGTCTGCATCCCCATAAAGTTGGTCAGCAGCAGGAAGCATGAAGTGCTCTAAAACTTCCTGGTAGACGGCTGCATTGACCCTGGACCTCAGGAAACAGAGTGGGCCAACACCGGCAGATGACATGGCACCCCACACCATCACTGACGGTGGAAACTTTACACTGGACCTCATGCAACGTGGATTCTGTGCTTCTCCGCTCTTCCTCCAGACTCTGGGTCCTTGATTTCCAAAGGAAATGCAGAACTTGCTTTCATCAGAAAACATAACTTTGGACCACTCAGCATCAGTCCAGTCCTTTTTGTCCTTGGCCCAGGCGAGACGCTTCTTGCGCTGTTTCTTGTTCAAGAGTGGCTTGACACACGGAATGCGACACCTGAATCCCATGTCTTTCATGAGTCTCCTCGTGGTGGTTCTTGAAGCGCTGACTCCAGCTGCAGTCCACTCTTTGTGGATCTCCCCCACATTTTTGAATGGGTTTGTCGTCACAATTCTCTGCAGGGTGCGGTTATCCCTAGAGCTTGTACACTTTTTTCTACCACATTTTTTCCGTCCCTTCGCCTGTCTGTTAATGTGCTTGGACACAGAGCTCTGCGAACAGCCAGCTTCTTTAGCAATCACCTTTTGTGTATTGCCCTCCTTGTGCAAGGTGTCAATGATTGTCTTTTGGACAGCTGTTAAGTCAGAAGTCTTCCCCATGATTGTGGTGCCTTCAAAACAAGACTGAGGGACCTTTTAAAGGCCTTTGCAGGTGTTTTGAGTAAATCAGCTGATTAGAGTGGCAGCAGGTGTCTTCTATATTCAGCCTTTTCAGAATATTCTAATTTTTTGAGATACCAAATTTGGAGTTTTCATTAGTTGTCACTTATGAATATCAAATTTAAATGTAATGAACATTGGAAATACATTGGTCTGTGTGCATTGCATGAATATAATGTACAAGTTTCACGTTTTGAATGGAATTACTGAAATATTTTCAACCTTTTGATGATATTCTAATTTACTGGCCAGCACCTGTAAGTGTCATCGCTGCTGTGACGTCTAGCTTTCCCCACTGAGGAACAATAAAGGGATTTTCTATTCTATTCATCTATCTGCAGCCTTTCCACTTCCTGTTTACTGCAGGTTAAATCTTTTCTCACGGGCCAACAATAAAATAAAGATATCATTTTATCTTAAATGAAAATGCAACATCTCACCTTTTAACTTTCATGTTTTGGAGCAGAAAAAGAGCATAAAACCAACATATTTAAAGCTCAGTTTGCTCCACTGGTTTACTGTGATGCTCACCTGTTCCAGCCAGATACCTGCATCATGGGGCTGATCTGAGCTGAGGAGGAGACTCCTGTTGTTTTGTTCATCTTCATCATAATAATGACAACATTAGATGACAACAGGTGCTCACATGGGTTTGTGCTGATGAACATGTCTGAGCAGCTTGACCACGTTGTTGTGTGTCAGGGGGGAAACACGACAGCAGCCACAGAGTCGTGCTGGTTTGAGCGTGTCGCTGCTCGCTGGAGTTATATCGGCTCTGTCTGGACGTTAGTTGAAAAACATTCTCTTTCAGTCGTGAACACATTACTGAGCGGCTAGAATCTCCGCTTCTGGGCTTCAACGTCAGAAAATAGCTGAGCGAACTTGGCGCTGAGTGAGAGGAGCGTAGTTTGTCCGAGACAGCGGAGCTGCAGACACCCAACTACCTCTGACTGCCTCGGCGGCGGCGCTGACAAAACACAAAGGAGGGGGCGCGTCTGCTCCGCGCTGGCGCCGCAAAGCATCATGGGAGTTGTAGTCTTTGCGGTAAAATCGGCCAGCGGGCCAGTTTTAATATATTTTTGATATTTATCTCGCGGGCCACATAAAAATGCTCCGCGGGCCGCATCTGGCCCGCGGGCCTTGACTCTTACATATGTGCTATAATTGATGGTTTATAAAACCACATCAGACGTAATCTGTCAAGCCTACGTACCCTTATTGGAGACTCTCTTTTGGATCCGAGATGTCGAGGAATCCGTGGACCCCACAGTAACCGAAGTCCGTGGAGAAACCACAGTATGATCAGGTCAGTCCAGAGTCGTCTCCAGGTCACGACAAACAGGTGGACTTGTTTTGCATCAATGGATGGACTCTTGGGGAGTCGGAGCTGTGTCAGCTTTGTTCTGAAGGAACCATTTGCAGTATCAGCTGTTGCGTGAAACAGGTTTTGACAGCTTGTCAAAAGATGCGATGGGAGAGGACGCTTCCTCCGATGACCAGTCAGAGTTAGGCTCATCTGAATCACTCAGGAAGTGATTCTGTTTTAATAACGGCCTTATTTTGTTTTACTGACAAATCAGAACTTGCCCTGTAAAGGGGTTTTGCCAACAAACCTCAGATACACACCTCCCTAAGATATGAAGATGCTGATTTTGTGGATAAGAAAATATCTATGTGCAGTGACGTTAAATTTAACTTGCGTCATCAAGATATGGTGTGTCTTGTCCAGTCACGTACGCTGATTAAATATATGGGTCATATATTTCATTTCATCCTCATTAATCTTTCAATGTAATAATAATATTCATTTCAACTTCAGTAATTTAAGCACAGATTAATCAAAACATGTTATTTAACCATATTGTCAATTTCATTGCATGATTTAATTATGAAAGTTCATCCTTCTTGTTCTGTGAAGCAAAGCAGTCTTAGATAAGAGGAAGCTGGAGAGAGACTTTGGTCAAGCAACAGTATCTTTCTTGCAGATTAAAGGCACCGTTAAGACGTATGTCTCCAAATGACCAGATGCTGAAGAGGCCACACTGTAGATGAAAAACTGACCATTTCTGGAGGCTACAGGATGCATAGAGAGAGTGTGCAAACTCCATGCAGAAAGACCCCAGGCTGAGATTTGAGCTTAGGGCATTCTTTCTGCTAGCCTGACCAGCCAGCCCCAGAACTCCCTTCTTCAAATAACCCCACCCCTTATGAATTCTAACCGAGCCAATCAGCGCTGAGCAGAGAATGCCACACCGTGATGCTGAGTTTCTCGTAAACATGGTGACTGAAGCGCAGTTTGCTGTGGCACTGTCTTCTGTTCTAAATGGCTTGGACACGTCTTTAAAACAAGTAGAAGCGCTAATAGCCTTTCTTCCAAAGAAAGTTGTTTGCGCCATCACCAGACGCCATTTTTGACTACAGCTAAACAACTACAGCGTTGCGGACGTCACACACAGTAACGCTCAGTTTCTCATAAACAACAGTTTCGGACCGATGTTTTAGAGTGACCTTCAAGAGACATTGATTGGTCAAAAACAACACCCAAATTCCTTAAGATTGTCTTGACAGCAGAGGATAATGACCAAGTTTTTGACTAATCAGTGGAACCTTGCTTTCAGGGTTAATGATCAGACATTCAGTCTTTTCAGAGTTTAACTGAAAGAAGTTATCTTCCAGCCAGCTGGTGATAGCTGAAAGACACTCTAGTAAAACTCAGAATCTTGAAAGGAGCAGTACAGCTGAATATCATCTGCACATAGGTGATAAGAGACATTATGAAAATAATCAATTATCTGTCCAAGACGGTGTTTGTACAGTAGAAACAATACTCACAGGTGCTCATTTTGTGCTCTCACAAGTGTGGACTCAGACATTTTTGACACATTACCTTGGGCTATGGTTAGCACTAAATGCACAATGAATTGAATTATTACATTGTGATTTTAAGCAAAAATTGTTACTGTTGGTTGGCGCAGTGATGGCTAGGTTCTGTTGTATTTTTGTGTGTTCATTTTCTCTCTCCCTCTCTGCAGGTTTAGAAGTGGATTCTTGTACACCCTTTATTGTTTTGGGGGGGTTTTTTGGTGTGAAAAATTTCCATCCACCCTTTCCTTTCTTCTTCCTCCTTTCTTTTTCATGTCCATCTTCGTGTCCATTAGGATTAAAGACAACCAAAAGCTTTTCTAATAAAGTTTTAATATAAAAAAGAGATAACTTATACGACAACAAAAAAATACATCAATGATTAACTTACAAGTGATGTTTTACTGTTAAACTGTTTAAATGTATTTTGAAAGTGAGCAGAAAGTAGAATACAGATGAGCACAGGAGACAGTGGCATTAACAGAGATTATGTATGAATTAAAACATCCTCCTGCAGCTTCCATCTCTCAATCTCATTTTATTATCTTGTGTCTCTTCAAATCAGAAGAATCAGAATAAGCCCCAGTGTGCATGGTGCACAATAAATGACCCTTTGTTAAAATAAAACTGCAGTATTCATCACTTGCTTATATTTAACCTTGTTACTGATCCTGATGCTTCAGCCAGACTCGCATCTATTCATGTTGCTTGTTTATCTGGAATGTATTCTGATCTGAGTTTTAAAAATGTGGCAAATCGAGTTGTATGTGTGGAAACCTAGTGCACGACTGAGAAAACTGACTACATGAGGAACTGTGTGAAAGATCTGCGAACTCCTGCCAGTTGTGTAATGGTCACATGATCATAAATCGTGGCTCTCTGTGACTTTTATGGAGGCGAATCAATCACTGTCACACCAGACTGTGAAAGTGGACTTGTGTATGTGTACACATGCAGAGATTAGCCAGTTTAACCAAGTCTTTATGGTTTAACCAAACATAATTCACACTAATGTTGAGTGAAGCAAAGATACCAAACATACACGACCTGATTAAATCCATCTGTCACAGTTTTTCTTTTTTTGGTGTACATTAAACTAAAAGTTGCCACGTGCACTCTTTATGCATTTTTATCTCTTCCTCTGTCTCATTAATCTGAAAACTGACATTTTGTGATGAAACCTGCCTGTTGCGTGGTTTAAATTAACTGAAGTGTAATTAATGATGAAGTACTGCTACAGACTCCCACAGAGAACATGCCATTTGGGTTAATATTACAGATTTACAGATTTTTGTGTCAAAAATACTTTAAATTTCACATTGTTGTCATTATATTTCTTAAGAATCTAGAATTTATTCTAAATTTTGCATAAATTGTTAAATCAGACACCTGTCATTTATGCTTCACGATGCTGCAAACATGCAAAAAAAATTTTTTTATTTATCTTGTCAAATTCTTTGTGGGAATTTTTTCAGCCGGTCCTTTTAAACTAACTACAGATGTTAAATGTGTGGTCAGGATGGTTATATTTAAAGCCTGTGAGAAATAGAAAAGGCCACAGGAATTTTGGAATTTTAGAGCAATTCATGGGAATGACTTTACTATTTACATCATTTGAGTGAAGCAAATTTCAAATTAAATAATTTCAGCCTCAGACCCTGACACATTAGTGCATAAATAAACCAGGAAATGCTTTAACAGTGAGAAAAGTGTGCTAAAATGAAGGAGAGAAAATGCTGATAAGAGTTTAGAAGCACAAACTGCTGATAAGCTTATGGATGTTAAACTCATGGCGTTATTTGCAGAAGCCCCTCATATTTCCATCACTCTATGACTGTTGTTTGACTCCAGGGGAGGCATGCCCTGATACAAGGGGCTGTAATTCATGATAAACTGTGTTCAGTATTGCAGTGCTGCCCGTCCCTCCCAGGCATCATTCTCTTTTCCTATAATTGCCTTGTTCTTGTGCTTGTTATGAGAAAGTGGGATAGTTAGAGGGAAGTGGGCGACATCCTTTATGAGACTGATGGCTGCCCTGGGATCTTGTGATCATTTGTGTAACTGCACAAAAAATAAACACTTTTTTTTTTACAGTTTGAGATTGGAACGGCTCATTTTTAAACTGATACAAAGGATTAGGCTGACAGTTTCTGGCATCAAAGCTTATTACAGCACATAAATTATTCTTCTGCTGCTCATTCTGAGCTAGAGTCATGCCTAATTGGTAAAAATGCACACATCATATCAAGAAGAAGAGACATTTATTTGCAATCAAGATCAAATATGAAAAATTAGGACCCAATATTGTCATTGTCCACTTCCAGTACAACAAAACAGCATCCTGTTACCAAAACACCTTGAGATAAAGTAGCTATTTATGTCACAAAACAAAAGCAGATCAAGGGCTCATCACTGAGTCAGAGAAACGTTAATCAGTGAGATGCGAGTTTTATGTTAGGTAGTTTTATTCAGCTGTTTTTACAGAGGTCAATAAGAAAACTGTTCCAGTGATCATGCAAAATCATTAGAGGTTAGCTCAAGCAATCATGATACAGTGATTATGTTGTAATTGTGACAGTTATTTGCTTCCACCGTGCATCATTTTGGAATCTAATTTCCTTCTCTGAATGACATCAGTACAGATTGTTCAGTTTTCAGTGAGAATGATGTCATGGTATTATTTACAAGCACTGACATTTCAGGAGATTAACGCTGTTGTAACACATTAAACCTTTGTGACAAGTAAATAAGTTCTTCAATTGTAACAGCAGAAATAATACTGACATTTATACAATTTGAAAACAAATACATAATGGTAAACCCATTTAACGTAACAATAGATACATTTTTTAAGTTAGAGCTTCAACATAGATTCCAGTAATTGTTGGGTTACAAACTTGACCAGTTTCATATGTGACACCACTCTGCAGCCCACTGACGAAAAACTGCACTTAATAGTTTTGTGCCATGGATAGGTGTCCTATAGGACCTATTAGCTGTAATGCTAATGGTTAGCATATTCATTTTGCCAATCGTCATTAAAAAGCACAAGATAAAGGAAAATAAGTTTGCTTTTTCTGTTGGCGTCATGGCAGAGCTTGGAAGTAAAAGTAAGAGAGCATGGCTTTAGAGGCAAAGCAAAGCGTTAAAACCGGAGTAAACATCAGCACAGCCTACTAGTTTGAGGGAGCTAAAGGAGGCTACAAAATCACAGACTGTAGGTGACCTGGCTTTGTTGCTAGTAGACATGTAAGTAATAATATTTTTTGTCCTGTGGATCTTTTTACTTCTTAGTTTATTTTAGTATTAGTTGGCTCATGTTAGTGTTAGCTTGTTGATAGCGCAATCTACAGCAGGCTGCCGCAGGGTTGTTTACGACAGTTGCAGTTCCATTTTCAACCAGGCGGAGGAGCAGAAACCTGCTCTGTTATTTTAAAGTGGGAGTCGAGGTATGGGTGGAGACTTATTTCATCCACACTTCCTGTTAGGAAAACGCTTCTGAAAGAGGCGCCACCTGGCGGACTGAGAGAGCAGCACTGAGGCAGTGATAGATGGCAACCCCCCCCTGCATGCGCTGTCGGAGTTTCTCAATCTAAAAACGAGTTGTTAAAGAGCAAGTCACTTCCAAATCAACTTTTTTTCTGATAAACTATATAAATGCGTGTCTAATCACGCTGCAGACACGTGTAGTCAATAGTTTTGCATTTTAGTGCATTTTAGGTCAAATTTAAATGTTATGCTTAAAACTGTCCGTGTTTGAATTTAAATCTGCTATCGCTATTGGCTAAGAGTTACCCTAAAATGTTAGCTGGTACCATATGATGTCACAATGTCGTTGTGAGTCTGTGTGTTTTTTTGTTGGCGGCTCCACCCTCTCGGTCTGCAAGGCAACAGCATTTGTTACATTTTTCAAATAGGAAGTGGAAGTGGAGTAATAGTCTGGTAGGGTGTGACTTGCTCTTTAACGAGCGCGTGCCCACTCACGCATGCAGGCAAGCACACACTCACAGTAGGCTTACCGCTCAGGATAAAAGCAGACACAGATTCTGCAGCATTCTGGAGGATTTTCTGCTAACCGCGATCACGGTGAAAAGGGGAGGAGGGCATTTTTTCAAGGAGGCAATCGGCTCCGAGCACCAGCGTGTCATATCGGCAGGTGGAGTGGCTGAGCAAGGTGGAGGTGCGGCTGCCTCACCTGGAGACCAGTGTAGTGTAGCCTCATAGTAATTTGCTGACAACATCACGTTTTTCACCTTAGCCATCAACCACAGCTGATTCTACATAAATGTAGAGAAGAGTTTTTAACCTGAAGATGGAGACATATTTATTGTTTTGGGCTGAAATATTAAATTTTAAGTAAGTTGCACTAAACTGCCACACTAATGATTACACATGTGTACAGCATCATTAGACACTCATCTATACAGATTATCAGCAAATAAAGTGTTACTTGCACTTTATATGTATTCATATATATATATGCTATTGGCAAATATGATCGGTGCTCAATTCAAATTGGATGAGACTCTAAGGGACGGGAAAGATATTGATTACATTATTTCACAGTACATGATTATTTTATCAGTTGTCAGATTTCTAAGAATCATATATATTTCCTGAAAGTGGGAAAATTCCGGATTCCTGCTTTAAGGCGTGAATGTGTACTTGCTCATTTTCCCTACGACTTTATACAAAGAACCTTTTTAAACGATTTCCTAAAGTCTCTGTTGAATATGGTGTATATGACGGGGTTCAGTGAGCTGTTGCAGTAGCCGAACCAGAAGAACATTTTGAACAGTGTCTCTGGGATGCAGCAGGCATCACACACAGCCGTGAGCGTGTACGTGAAGAAAAAGGGGAACCAGCAGAGAACAAACACTCCCATGACAACAGCCAGGACAAATGTGAAGCGTCTTTCTCTGTACTGTCTTCCTTTCCACTTGCTCACTGTCACAGATGGTGGCGCCTCCATCTTTGGAGAAGTTTCCACAGGCTTCACCTGAGATGCTTTGGGTGTTCTCGTGGTCTTCTTCTTTCTCAAGGGGCATAAGATGGTTTCGTTCCCTTCGGAGGAGGACGGTTCTTCCTCCACATCAAGCCCGTTGACCTCTTTTACCTCATCCTTTTCTCTTTCTTTATCTTCTTGAGGCTCCAAGCGAAACTCGTCTTCACCTTTGCCCTTCCTTCTTTGCCTTCTACTTGGTAAGGCTCTTGTTCTTTTCTTAGCAATCTGGTAGATTCGGACGTACACCATGATCATGATGACACAGGGTGCAAAGAAAGAGGCAGTGCTGGAGAAAATAATGTACCATTTCTCCTTGTTGATCTTACACACAGGGCTGTCCTTTTTACCTTCATCCTTTTTCATGGTTATAAGTGGAGGGAAAGAAATAATGGCCGCCAGCACCCAAACCAAACAGATCGTGCATCTAATCCTGCGAGGTGTCCGTCTCAGATTGTACTCAATCGCTTTTGTGACGGACCAGTATCTGTCCAGGCTGATGGCACACAGGTGAACGATGGATGAGGTGCAGAAAAGAACGTCCAAAGCCAGGTGGATCTCACACCACACTTTGCCAAAGTACCAGTAGCCCATAAGTTCATTCGCTAAAGAGAACGGCATCACTAAGGTGGAAACCAGGATGTCAGCACACGCCAGAGACACCAGAAACAAGTTCTGGGGTGCTTTCAGGGCTCGGCTCGTGATCACAGCAATTACTACCATGACATTGCCAAACACGGTCAGCATGATGAGCATAACCACCAGGATGGTGAGCATCACAGAGGTCTGCACAGTGAAAGGCTGCTTCCCAAGCAAAGTCTCATTTCTGCTGGTGAGATTGAGACAAACCATCAGGGTGAGATGCCGTGTTGACTATATACTGGCTGTTAAATGAATTCACTCAAGAGAATTAAATCCTTTCATTTTGCTCACAGGAGGATAACCTCAAAGAAATCAGTGACTTCTGTTCCTTCCTGCAGAAAATAGAGTAAATTCATAAAATTGGAAGAAACATGTTAGCAATAACATCCAGGGTTAAATTGTTTCTCACACCTATAGTAAAATGTACTATTTGGAGGGGAAAAAAGGGATAGAAAATCTTCATCCACCTACCTTTAAGTGAAAAAGTGTACATTTAAATGTTTAAGTCCCTGGGAAGACATATTGATTGTATCCAGTTTGCAAGAATAGGCCTGGTTCAGGCAGGTCTTCATCTGCTGTAGCTGGAGTGAAGTGATTCTGTGATGCTCCCTCCACTTCACTGGAAACAAGAATGGGAGGAGTTTATCTGCGGAAAATTTCAAAATAGTCTTTGTGCTTCTTCTAGACACCTGTGAGCAATTGGCTGATTTAGACGTTAATTTCAGTGTTGATTTATAGAAGTAATTCTGTTCACTGTTAGATAACAGAGCATTCTCTGTAAAGTTTTGTGGTTCTGTTTCATAATAAAGTGATCCATCTTCATTTAAAAAACAACTTGAAATAAGAGTTTTATTAGGAGAGGAGATGAAAGTCGCTTGCTGGGTTAGATACTGATCGTGTAAGAGCTCCATTGAGGACTTTATTGATCTAAAATTTAAGTTAGACAAATGTTCCTCTTCCATCATAACAAAGCAGGTCAACGCAAATGACTTGAAACGTTATTTATTCCTAAACAAAAGTGACCATTAATTTTTTTTACAAATACCATGCGTCCTTTTGACAAATTATAGTTGTGCATTGGACAAAAAAAAAACATGCTTTTAAATAAGATGTTTTTGCTTTTTCATCTTGTAAATGAGCCTGTTTATGCATAATTTATGCCAATTCAGTATCAAGTAGACTGTTTTGATGAATTTCCATCAAACTACTTATTACGCAATATTTAGTTTTGCTCAGTGGCATGAATTTTTAAACAATAAGTACATTTTTATGTGCAATATTTCTATACAATTAGTATGACATTTTATGTTACTGTTTTTTTTTCTTACAGTTGCTAACAAGTATTCATCCATCCAAGTTAAAGGGATACTTTGCAACTTTTCATATTTTAAAATCATTTTCTTGAGCCATTTAGTGCTAAAATGAGCCTTTACAGGGTTAATGAAAGAAGAAAAAATATTCCATTTTCAACTTCAGACTGGCGGGCGCTCTGTTGGGACTTAGAAAATGACTGAGCTGAAGTACCTGGCGCCTCAGTTTGGTTCCATTCCAGCACGTTTCCTGCAATTTTTAGATGTTGAACACAGCTGATTTGTTTGATTTAGTGATGACCCACTCCTGTAGACACTAATGAATGCTGGGGAGACATTTCAGCTGTTAGATTAAGGTGTTAAAAAGACAAACGCACAGCGAGGAGATGGGTTTTGCTTTTGGTTCTACAAACTGATACTAGGGGATGCTAAAAGCAAGCCAAAACTGCCTAGTCTCCCTTTAATACAATGTTCTTATCGCATTGGTGTATTTTGGCCACATCATGAACACATTTGATGTTGTTTTTACACAATATGTAGTCAGTCAACACGTTTCTATAATGCTTACATTTTTTTTTACATTTACATTGTTTTATTCAAGATTCAATTCAAAGATACTTTATTAATCCCAGAGGGAAATTAGAGTTTCAGTACACAATTCAGAGATCAGACATACATGGGCAAGACACATGACAAGAATTGGTGACTGTGGTCATTCGCAACCCTGAGTCACGCTACCTTAATAGAGATCAGAGGGTTACATGAGGATTGGTTCAGGTGGAGGGGGAAAAAAGGCACTTCAGAGTTACCCTCCATTGGGAGGGCAGCTTTGCTCTGCAAAAAAACACCTCAGACAGAGATATGCAACAGACTTCAGACAACACAACATAATTGTCCACTAGATGAGGTGGTGGGTTTGGGACTATCCACACTTCGGTTCCTGCAGCCACTACAAGCAGCACATGTCACCTCAGTCTGAACAGGGGGAGGAGCATTGAGGGTTGGAGGGTCGCAGTGACCCTGGAACGATTCAGCGGCCTTCCCGCAGTCCTGCCCAGGCTGGGATAGGAGACAGAGTTGAGTTGCCATAGCGACGGCACATTCCACATATCTTCTGAGGGGGGAGTTTTCGTTGGAGCCTTGCAGGCTCAAGGGCACCAGATTACGATTAGAAATTGTTTTGGGGCAAGACAGAGACAATTTCTTCTCTGTCTTACAGTTTGTTGGTAGCCTAGTGAACTAGACCAAATTCTTCCTTTGCAAAGTTTGGTCTAGGCATGCTCCATTGGAACCTCCGCAGCTCCTACCAGGACTCTGGCTGGCAAATCACAGCACTCTAGAGGGGTTTCAAACACATAAAGAGCTGTGATTGGTCCATAATGGTGGGCCAATCATAGTGCTCTATCTGCTTAGTGAACAAATCACAGAGCTTTATCCGCTTTGTGGGCCAATCAGGGCACTCTATATGCCTGGTGGGTGGGATGATGCAACAGAGTGAAACAAGAGTATGTCACATTCATTGTCCAGTGGAATGCGGAGATCATTTGAAAGACAACGGTAGAACCCACCCCACAACCGAGAGCCGTCAATGGAGCGTTGCCAGACTGGCTTGCCAGGCTAGTTTGTTGGTCCTCAACCTCTCAAAATCCCAATAATGGACATTAATCTATCCCAATCCGTGCTGATTGATCCACTCTATCGTTGATGGCATCCATCTTTTGTGCCAATGAATGAATCTCGGCAAAAGTTCCAAGCTTACGATTTATCTCGACAATTATGTGAGTCTGTGAATTCACAGCATGGTGCAATCCATCTCTGAGGTCCGGGAGCAGGCCAATATTCCTCGGCAGCTCGTTAATTTTCCGGTAAACCAGGAAGCCAAAGCCAATGAGCAGGAAACCTGACACCAACACCACAAATATCCACACGTCTTCAGAGTCCTCCACAGACAGCTGAGATAAACAAATCAAGTTCCATTGTTTCCAGGAGTCCAAGATGTGTCCAACTGGGTCTGTCTCGGCGGGGCATCTGGGTGCCCCTTCTCCCGTTCTCATCTTTGAAAAAAAATTTTCATTTGCATTGAGAGACCAGCTGACGAGATCCATTTTAGTGAATTTCAATTTCCAGGAAAAATGCAGAAGCAGCCATGCACCCAGCCAGCACACAGAGACAGACAAAGGGCCTTGAGGATAAGACATGGAGGAGAGGAGGAAAAAAGCATCTGCACCCTCCGAGAGCCGGAGCCAAGTGCTTACATTAGGTTTTATGGTTTATCGATTTTACAAAGCTTTTTTTTATTATTCTGATTGTCTGCATTATTATTTTGTGGTGTGAAGCCCTTTGCTGTTCTTTCTGTGAAAGGTGCAATACAAATGAACATACAGACAAGCACAGCCTAAATTATGGATCGTTATTTTCTTATTTACAAACGTTAACATACAATAAAAACAATATTCAAAACCATATACCTACTGTATAAAACCTTTACTTGTACAATAATATAAGCTCAGTAATAATTAACAAACAATTATACAAATAATTGACACGCAGCTGATTTATGTAGGGTAAATTGGGTCAACTAAGGTTGGTACCAAACTGATTTTCAGGTGCCAAGGGAGTACCACCTTACAACAGACAATGTGACCTAACTTCGAAGATCACTGAGATAAGATCATTTTTTGTTTTCTTATGTTTTATTTTTAGGTTTGTTCCCCTTTCATCTGAGCTTTATTGTGGCTTTTTTGTGTTTCCACTCATTTTGTTCACTGTAAGCAATACAGGAGATTTTTTATACAGCAAACATTAAAGATTATGTCTTAGTTTTTGTTCACATATTCTGTCTCTTACATTTTAGTATGTTGTATGACATTTATTTAATTTATTTTTACAATGTATATTTACTGTGAGATCGGACCATGAATCAGAAGCTGAATACAACTGAGAAATGTTCCGTAAGTACAAAAACCTTTGAAACTAATGGATAAATCCCTTGCAGTTAGGTTTTATACCTTCTAAGGACAGCCAGATTTTTCTTTTATTTTACCCTTTAATTATTATCGTAATTTGATTGCATAAGGCAGTGGTTAGAGCTGTTGCCTTGCAGCAAGAAGGTCCTGGGTTCGCTTCCCGGCCTGGGATCTTTCCCAAGTTCCTGGGTGTGCACATTACAGAGGATCTCTCCTGGACGAACAACACCATAGCATTGGCGAGGAAATCACAGCAGCGTCTCTTCTTCCTCCGCAAACTAAGAAGAGCAAGAGCACCAGCCCCCATCATGTACACTTTCTACAGAGGCACCATCGAGAGCATCCTGTCGTGCGGCATCACTGTGTGGTTCGGAGCCTGCAACGTTTCATGCATTAAAACCCTCCAACGTATAGTGAGAGCAGCAGAGAAGGTCATTGGGGTCTCTCTCCCTTCCCTATCAGATATTTACAGTGCCCGCCTCACAAAAAAGGCCCTTCGCATTGCGGCTGATCCCACTCACCCAATGTAAAGCCTCTTCGAGCTGTTGCCGTCAGGGAGGAGACTGCGGAGTCTCAAGGCCAGGACCAACAGACTGAGGGACAGCTTTATCCATCAGGCAGTTAGGAAGCTAAACTCCCTCCCAGCTCTCCCAACTCTCCTCTCTTTTCCCCCCACAGTCTCTCTGAACTTGGTTACTGTTTTTATACTAAATGTTTATTTTCTATCTAGCGAGAGTTTGAGAGTAACGTAATTTCATTTCTCTGTATGTCCTGTACATGTGGCAGAAGTGACAATTAAACTGACTTTGACTTCTGCATGGAGTTTGCATGTTCTCCCTGTGCATGCATGGGTTCTCTCCGGGTACTCCCACAGTCCAAAAACATGACTGTTAGGCTGATTGGTCTGTCTAAATTGTCCCTAGTTGTGAGTGTGTGTGTGCATGATTGTTTGTCTTGTGTGTCTCTGTGTTGCCCTGTGATGGACTGGCAACCTGTCCAGGGTGTACCCCACCTGATTGCCCGTTGACCGCTGGAGATAGGCACCCCCCCACCACCACCACCACCCCCGCGACCCTGCGTGGACAAGTGGGTTCAGAAGATGGATGGATGGATGGATGGATGATTGCATTCTGACACCATAAGGTTTTGTTCTGTTTTAATTTGAGAGGAGGTGGACATTTTATTGAAGCTTTGTACTTTTGTATTGTTAATAGAATTTTGTTATTGTTCCTATTTTGTTAATAAAGTTTAAAAATGTTCCCAAACCAGTAAATATGTCAGAGCCAGCCGCCAGGGGCGCTGGTGAGTTTTAAAGGACGATCTTGCCACTACCTCGTGCTCTCTCGCGAGAAAGTTTTTATTGGTTGGCTAGTGGCAAGGAAGACGAATACTTGCCTTTAAATAGGAAAAATCAGCGTTTCGGAATACTATCTATATTGAAATCTGAATTATTATTGCTCTATTAGTTCAACTTCGCAAAAAAACCGAGGTAAGATAACAGTCAAATCAAGATTTTGCCATATTCTCTTTGTTGCTCTTAGCACTTAGACGCTAAATTTACGTCGACGAACAGGCCGAGGATCCTGCTAGCTGGTTTAGCGTTCGCTAACACGAATGTTGTGGTTGACGCATTCCACTGTTATTTATTTAAAAGGAAATACTCCTTTTTACGCTTATTAAAAATGTTATGAGTGATTATTTATTGTATATATGCTTTAGATAATGAATATGTTTATGTTGTAGCGGAAAGATGTCGGAGGATCTGTCGAAACAGTTAAGTAGCTACAAAGCCCAGCTGCAGCAAGTAGAAGTTGCCCTGTCAACAGACCAAGGTAACGAGGACCTTCGCAAACTCCAGAAAGACCTGCAGGTTTGTGTCTACTTCAGTTGGATGAAAAATCGGGATATAAAAAGCCATAAACAAGTATCCGATTGTGCAGTAGCTTTACGCTAATTGGATAATAGCTAAGTTATGTAGCCAAAGTTTTTAAATTTAGCGCATAACGAGGATATTTTTCCCCAGAACTCTTTTTTTAAACAAGCTATTTAAGAAAAGAAAATAATACCAATTTGTTTTATGACCATTTTTAATCACAGGACAAGTGGAAAGAGTTTGACCTTTCCTGAAATATTGTCCAGTGACCTATTTTGTTGGTGTTCATAGAAAAAAAAAAGACATACTATAATTGAACCTTTCCTAGTATTCTGGAGGAAACATTTGTTCTTTTATCGAAACTAACAATTTTTCATGTGTTCTGTGCAGGAAGTCATCGATCTGACAAAAGATCTCATAACATCTCAGCCCCCCGATGCGTCTTCAAGCACCAGTGGTTCAGACACAGTTCCTGTGAAGAAAACCTGGAAAGTGGGAGACAAGTGTTTAGCTTTGTGGAGTCAGGATGGACAGTGAGTGTCACCATCCTTTTAAAAATTGGTTTACTGGCATATTCTCACTAGTGCATTCAGTGTGCTAGCTTATAGATTTTTTCAGTCGGATGTCATACTTGACTTGCAAATAAAGCAAATTTGTTTTAGTTGCTATGTGTAAAGCATGTGTATTTACAGTCTATGGTGTAAAGATGTCATATTCAATTGTAATTTGTGGATTTCATTTTGATCATGCAATAGTATTTTTCTTTGCGTTTTAGAGCTTGAGTCTTTGGCTCATACTCACCAGCTTACAGACGTGATTTTTTGACAGGGTGTACGAAGCTGAGATTGAGGAGGTAGACCGAGAGAACGGCACTGCTGCTGTCACCTTCAGTGGATATGGAAATGCCGAAGTGATTCCTCTGCACAACCTCAAGGCGGTCGAGGAAAGGAAACTGACTGAAGAGGACATTTTGAAGTCAAAATCCAAGTATGAACAAACCCTCTAACCTTTATTGTTGGATTTTCATTCAAATTGAGATGGCACTGGGAACTACCAGTTACACTTTGCACCAGAATTACATCAACTGCATCTTCTGTGGCAAAACTAGATTCTTCTACATTTTAAAATACTGTTTTTTGTAATAAATATTCTGGCACACATTTGTGTGTTTAAGTATGTTAACTGTTATTTGCCATATTTAAAGGAGCAATGAGTAAGGATTCTACAGTGAAATAATCACGAAACAGTCTGATGTCTCAATTGTGTTGGAGGGAAGGTTACTTTGATACAGATTTCATTCTCAGCCCGCTGGGTTGGTTGTCAGTTGTTCTCCTTCAAAAAAAAGCAAAATGGGGATATAGTTACTGTTTACAATCTGTGAGTCCTTGATGTTGCAGAGTCTGCGCCAGTCTAACGCTGCAATGTCTGCATTGGTAATTTGACACCATTTGTCAAAAAGCTCCTGATTTGTTTAAATAACCGAAGCCAGTAAACAGGAGCGACATACAAGTTCTTTTTTTTTTTATCCCAAAGAAGCTACGGCATCAATTTGTTTTACCCAATATCGGGTAGCGATGGGTACCGAATTCAGTACTTTTTAAGGTACCGACCGAATTCCACAGTACCGACTGAGCACCGATTCATGTCAATTTGAAACGGTGCCTCGTTTCGGTACCCGTCCTTCATAAGGAGAGCTTTCCTAGACAGCTGCGCATGCGCAAGAGCGTTATGTCGTCAGTCGCTGCGAGCGAGTTGTAAACAGAGCAGCATGGTAGAAAGAACACACGCTAAAGCTTGGGTCCACTTCACTAATTGTGATGGGTAACTGGGTGATGATGAAACCAGCGACAATAATCTAAGTGAGACATCCTCATCTTAATCTGCTCCGGAAGGTAAATAAAATGTTTTAAGATAACGTTAGCTTGATTTGTTAGCTTCACTAATGGTGCGTTTGCTTTCTCCTTGGAACTCCGAATTTCCGACCAGAAGAACATAAACGCGCTCTAAAGTTTGGCTTCACTTTACTAAATGCGACGGGTGATTGGGTGAAGATGAAACCAGCGACAACGATCTTAAGTGTGAGGCATCATCGTTTTAATCTGCTCCAGCAGTTAAATAAACTGTTTAAGATAACGTTAGCTTCCATTGCCACCATTGTTATCAGCTAATGGTGCGTTCGCCTTCTCCTTGGAAATTCTAACTTCCCAGTAGGAAAAATCAAATGAAAAAGGACGGCAAAAGGAATGAAGATACACAGTAAATTTTGTTCACAGTAAAGATGTTTGCTTCAGTTTAATTATCAGCTTATAAAACTACAAGGACAATGTTAAAATACAAACAGTTGTATGTTATTTATCAAATATGGTTATATATTGAGAAAAATATATATAATTATAAAAGAGAATTAAAATATTAAACACTCAAAAGTATCGAAAATTGGTACCGTTAAGTACCGGTATCGATTCGTAGGTACCGGGAATTAGTACCGGATCGATTCAAATGTCAAAGGTACCCATCCCTAATATCGGGTGAAGCACTCTGAAGGCTAAAGCTGAGCTAACAATGCTAATGGTAAATTAGAAACTAACAACTCTAAAAATTCAAGCTGCTTTTTCTGTTACCAACAACTCAATATTACACTGAAATGTGTGTGAAGTCAGTGAGCCAATGGTGGCATTTTACTTCCTTTAATTAGTCATTCAAAACTAGAACAGCAAGCTAACGGCTAGAGCGCAAACAACCACACTTCCTCTAAAGTGGAGATATATTTCCGTAAAAAGTGTAGTAAGCGCTCACTACCATAAAACACCCAAGAGTACCAATATCGGATATAACAATCTACCTATCAAATTTACTGTGTATGAATCGTCTTTGCTTGTCATTAGAATCTTCTGATACTGATCGGGAACTGGTAACAGTCATGAAACTCGCGGAACGGCGGTGAGAAAGTAACTTTTTTAGGAAAATGGGCTGTATTTACCAAATTTGATCACATAGTCATTCTTACATATTGTACCTTCAAGGTAAGATTTTTCTTACCCCGGTTTTCCACTGGCCGTAAAAGCAATCGCGTAATGTAATAGCGGAGTTCCACCCGCGAGCGTCTTCCAACCGGGAGCAATTCTGACGCAAAGCGTTCCACACAGCTAATTCCGGGACGTTGCGTAATCACAGAATTGCAACACCATACGTGATTTCAGACGTCCACACACAATAATAAAGAAGATGATAGACAGCTGCATGCTTGAAAAAGTGTATGTCGGTTATTTTCTGTTCTGTTTACGTCAGTTACAGAAGTTCACAGGGAATGACGTACTGCACGTGACATTTATTTAAAAAGATTCCGGATGTTCCACACTGTTTCTGTGTTTGACTTCCTGTCTGACCCGATCTTACCTGTGGAGTTTGACGTGTTTGGGAAGCGCAGCGCGTCAAAATGAACTCAAAGTGTAATGATGGCGTGCCCTTACTTCTGGGGCGCGTGTATAACATCACACTTAGCTGTTGGTGGAAAGGAACGCATGGCGCATAGTATGTTTCGTGGCCATTTCACGGCGCTTTCACATGCAGTGGAAAGAAGTGGTTAGGAAGCAGTCACATGTAAGTGAGTGAGGTAGTTCCCAGTGCCATCTCACAGAGTCCTCTTAATCTGAAAGGGTTACGCCATACAAATGCAGGACATTTATCATTTTCATCCAAAGTGTAATCACAGTAAATTGAATTAATCAAATATATTTATTACAGGTAGATTTCTGAGTTAACTGTAGATTCAGACACCCAAATGTGAATGATAAAACACTGGAAAAATTATTTCCTTTGTCACAATATTCCAGACAGTAGTTTTCAGTAGTACTTGTTTACTACGCCCTTTATCCCCCCCCCCCCCCCCCCAAATTCCAAATACATACTTTAAATATTTTAGGACAATTTTTAATAATCGCTAAATTGTAGCTGCTCACATGTTGCATTTTCTGTGATTCGTCTGTGCCGTTTTCTGCAGGAGTTTCACGTGTGACTCAGCTAGTGTAAATTATTAATTTACCTTTCTACTGCTCTCTTGTTTGGGTGATTTTCTAGGAAAGAGCAGATCGCAGAGCAACGAGAGTATAAGAAGAAGAAGGCTCAGAAAAAAGTCCAAAGGATGAAAGAGTTGGAGCAGGAGAGAGAGGAGCAAAAATCAAAGTGGCAACAGTTTAACAACAAAGCATACTCAAAGAACAAGAAAGGACAGGTACCTTGCCTTTCTTTGCCTTGAATGTCTAGCATTATTGTTTCATAACAAGTCATTCCATTTTTTTTAGGTAAAGAGGAGCATCTTTGCCTCTCCAGAGAGTGTAAACGGGAAGGTGGGAGTTGGAACTTGTGGTATTGCAGACAAACCTATGACCCAGTACAACGACACATCCAAATACAACGTCAGACATCTAATGCCCCAGTGACCGAATACACTCTGTACATAATAATCCACTGTATACTAGCTGTCTCAGTGCTCTCCATTGTATTTATACTCGAGTAAAGAAAGTTTAAATGCTCTCAAGTGTTTCAGATATTGTTGTAATTGTCTTGTGTAGTCAATTACAACATCCAAAACTCCTCATGAGGGATTTTTCAAGCACTGGAGTAAAGTCGTCTCCGTTGTAAGAACAAGAGATGGTGGTATAAAAAAGATGTTTGTTTTCTGTTTGCCTCGAGAGTTTACTGGGACAAAACCACCCCCCTTGTGAAGCGTCTAAACCTACATCTGTAGAGTTGGGATTCACATTTGTGACTGGATTTTAAACTCTCAGTAATAGAGAAACATTTAATATTAACGATAGGGCTCATTTGAAATGGATAACTTTGCATTTTAATTTATGTATATATATAAAAATGGTGAAATAAACCTTACCTTGTTTTTTGTTTTTAAAACGTTGCAGTGTTTTGTTTTTTGGAGGATTGTGTTCTGGTCGTTTTGTCCTGTAGGTGGTAGCAAAGACTGTCTGATTTTGAAGGCACCAGCATCACATAGAAAATGAATGTTAACTTGCATCTGTTTAGATCAGATAAACACCACAAACCCAGTTAAAGTTAACACCAACAGTTGTAGAGTAGAAACATACGTTAAAGAAAGAAAAGTGAACGTTTGCGTTTAGAGGTTTATTGAGATTCCAGGAATGGTTAACAGCAGTTGTAACAAAGTATTCACAGGGGACCAGCAGCGTCTTTTGCACTAAAGTCACCTCGTATTGCTGATTAAGCACAAGAACACATTCTGGGTTATGCCTCAGCATATTTCAACCTTTTTTTTAATTGTGCATTTTATGCTCATCCCAAATGCAGGGTGGGAGGGATCGTTAGCAAGGAACTTTGTGCAGGAATCAATCCCCGTGTTAAGACACAATTTGGTGGTGATGTACGTAGGACAGAAAAATGCAGATAAATGTCATATTTGGTTTCATATATTCAGGTCAGCAGTGCAATATGGTTTGAAATGTATCTTGAATCATCGGAGAGAAGGGTCCAAATTGTATGAATTTAAGCCTTGATTATTTATTTTTTTGCTACAGTACAAAAGATTATTAAACACTGATGTATAAACCAAAACCAGTACTTGGTAGAATATACTGTTCATGCTACTGACATCATTATTAGTCAATCCAAAGCACAATACAGTTTGATTTATATTTTAAAAAAAAGCTACATTCAAGACACATGCATCATAGTGTTTGAAGTCAATTACAATCTGCTGACTTAGTAGCTGATGTTACTACCAAAGCACAGGTAAGTCCTGTTTCTTTTGGAGTTGACTGATGAAAAAAATTACTAAAGTCAATCACGGACACGATCAAACCAGACATTATTGCTTGAGCTTTGTGCTTGGACAAGTGCAAGATAGCTTATTACTGACTAAACTCATTGAATCTGCACACAGTGTGAAAGCATTCAACCAAAAACTTCTATTAAACTCATATACTGTAGCACAGTGTACTCTTCAGTGGGGATTTTATATCGAGTACGATTGGTAGACATTTAAAAACAAAGTAAATTATTTTTCCCATTCTGGCATTATGATTACCTAACTAAAGTACAATTAAATATATCAAAAATAAATAGAATCATGCAAAATATATTAGTCTAACAAAGGTGGATATTCCACCTTCCTTGATTGGGCAGTCCTGTTGAAGAACGGGGACACCACGTGAATTTGTGGTTGTGGGTCCTAAAGCAGAAGTCTGACATGTCTACTATTTGGAATGCAGGTATCATAGCCCTTGCTGGCTTGTACGTTGACAAGAAGTGCTGTCTGGAAAGATAATCCAATGAAATGGGGCTTTTTTTAACAAGGCATATGGCGCATATGTTCCCAATGGTGAGTTTCAAGCTGGTATTATGTGTGTGAGTGTGTTTTGCTGGTTTCTGAAGATCATCTTGATTAACGTGGAGCAACTGGTTCAGTGTTCAACACTGATGCAGGGATGGGTTCCCTACAGGAACATAATTTACAATTAGTGTGGCTGATTTGACCTGGTAACAGGTAAAGGGATAGTTGACTGGTAAAGTCACCCTTCCAAATGAAACAACTACATTATATTTTGCCAAAGTTCAACGGAAGAAGCCTGTTGGGTTTGGGGGGTATTTAACAGAACGTAAGGCTGGTTCTTGTTCTTGGACAGAAGAGATGTTTGAAAGTGGAGGCTGGTTCTTTTGAAGAAAACTGGTTGGGAGAATGGAGCTGTAGGCTGGTACTTGGAAAGGTGAAAGCCATAAAGGAGTGTAGCTTAAATGGAAATTATTGGCTGGTGTTTTAAGCAGAAAATGGCAGCTTTAGACTGCAAGAGGAGTAGCCCTCGTCACTGACTGAGCTCTGCCGGCTGCTCTGGTCATCCAGGTCGCTGGCACCACTAGTGCTAACACTGTCCATTTCTCCATGGGAGAACTCAGTGCTTTCCACATCAACTTCGATTTCTTCTGCTCAAAAAAAAAAAAAGAATACAGACTTAACCTTTGAATGTATGAATAATCTTGAATTTGGAAAAAGGAATGCTAAGTGGGACTGACCTCTATCGGACTCTGAGCGATCGGAGTCCATGCGGGAGCCCAGGCTGTCTGTGCGGATCCGTTCCCATTCTCCATGAGATTGCAGCAAAGCTAACTGCCTCTGCAGGTGCCTCTGCTCTCTCTCTAGACTCTCCAGTTGATGCTGGCTTCTTCGGTCCATGTCTTCAAGTTTCTGAAAGGAAAATGCATTCACAGTAAATCCCAATTTCCCATAAGCACAAGGAAGACCTGGTAAATGTGTGCAGATCTGGCTTTTACCAGACATTTGCATTGGGTTAATACATATAGGCATGGGCAAAACTGTTAGGACGCTTTGGTCAATGAAAGAAAAACCCACAGTGGTCACAGAAATAACTTACCGTAACCAGTGAAAGAAAGGCATTGCTTTTCAACTATGGTACAATGGAATTATTAAAAAAATAAACTCATGGAGCAGGCCTGGACAAAAATTATGGTACCCCTATAAAAAACTGACCAAGAGAACATGTTAATGTGTGTCCACTAATTAGCATCGCAGGTGTCTACGATCTTGTAATCAGTCGGTGGGCCTATGAATTGGAATCCAGGTAGTCACTGATTTTGGTGGCATGGTGTGTACCACACTCAACTTGGACTAGAGGACGTGAAGGAAAGAGTTGTCTCAGGAGATTAGAAAGAAAATTATAGACAACCATGTTAAAGGTAAAGGCCAAAGACCATTTCCAAGCAGCTAGATGTCCCCGTAACTACAGTTGCACATATTATTCAGAAATGTTAGATCCGTGGGACTGTAGCCAACCTCCCTGGATGTGGCTGCAGAAGGAAACTGATGACAAATCAAAGAGACGAATAATCCGAATGGTAACAAAGGAGCCCAGAACAACTTCTAAAGAGATCCTAGGTGAACTTCAAGCTTCAGGAACATCAGTGTCAGATCACACCATCCATCGTTGTTTGAGCCAAAGTGGACTAGATGGGAGAGGACCAAGTTGGACAATATTGCTTAAAACAAATCATAAAAAGTCAGACCGGAATAAGCCAAACTACATGTTGACAAGCCACAAAGCTTCTGGGAGAATGTCCTATGGTCAGATGAGACAACAAAGGAACTTTTTGCAAAGGCACATCAGCTCTATGTTCACAGATGGAAAATGAAACATATCAAGAAAAGAACAGTATCCCTACTGTGAAACATGGAGGAGGCTCTGTTATGTTCTGGGGCTGCTTTGCTGCATCTAGCACAGGGAGTCTGGAGTCTGTGCAGGGTACAATTAAATCTCAAGACTATCAAGGGATTCTAGAGAGAAATGTGCTGGCCAGTGCCAGAAAGCTTGGTCTCATTGGCAGGTCATGTGTCTTGCAACAGGACAATGACCCAACACACACAGCTAAAAACACCCAAGAAGGGCTGAGGGAAACATAGGACTACTCTAAAGTGACCTTCTATGAGCCCTCTCCTCAGTCCTAATGAGCATCTTTAGGAGGAGCTGAAACATGCCTTTTGGAAAAGGCACCCTTTAAACCTGAGACAACTAGTGCAGTTTGCTCATGAGAAGTGGGCCAAAATACCTGCCAAGAGAGGCAGAACACTCAGTGACAGTTAAAGGAATTGTTTGATTGCAGTGATTGCCTCAAAAGGTTGTGCAACAAACTATTAAGTTAGGGGTACCAACATTTTTGTCCAGGTCTGTTCCACGAGTTTATTAATATTATTTTTTAATAATTCCATTAAAGCATGGTTGAAAACCATGTCTGACTTTAATTGATTACATTTCATTGAATATTTATGTATTATTACTTTTGTCAGATTAAAGTTGTTTCTTTGACCATTGTGGCTTTTTTCATTGACCGAAGGGTACCAACAATTCTGTCCACGTCTGAATGTCAGACCAACACTCCTCAACCTACAGCCCTACCACCTCCACCACCACATCCATTATTTAAGATGATGAATAATATAGGATGTCTTAATATAGCCTAGACCTCATATAATAAAGTCAACCATCAGTGGTTGATAATGAATTCTTAAAGGTTACAACCAAGTGTTGATAGTTTTGAGTAACATCATTGAAGACTTGGTTGCTTTATTCTCCTTAGATCCATTACCCTTGTGCCAGCTGTAGCAACAGATTTAACACAAACAACTTCTGGTTCCAAAAATACAGTACAATAGCATTTCAAGGGCTCATTTCCTGAACTTCAAACACACAAGTCCAAAGTCAACATCTGACATTGTTCTTCACTCATTGCCCCACACAATTACTCCTACAGACTGCTGTCTGGATTGCTTTCACATTAGAGCCCAAACACCTCAGCTGTGTTTCCCAAAACTGATTTGACTTTAATTGCAGCCATCGGGGGAGCTAAGGCATTGAATGTTGGAAGCTTTTATGTTTTCAGTCATTTGATCTTACTGTGAGGCTCGTGTAGCTCAGACACAGATTCAGACAAGTCTTTTTTTGCATTTGTGGCAAATGTGAGGCACTTAATAACAGTGGTCAGTGTTCACAGCAGACTACAAAAAGTCCTGCAGAGGGCAGCCTACAGCATGTAGGAAAGATGAAAGGAAAACTGTAATAACCAGGCATGAACAAAGTGTTCTGACAGGGAAGCCAGAATGCCTTAAGTTATAGCTTCTTTAGGGCTTTGAGACTCTAGAATACCTCCTTACTGTATACAATTGACTCATTGTCAAAGAACTGCTAATGCTAAGCATTCTAGGCTAGGACGTAACTCTAGGCTGGCGTATGTATCAACAAATACAGGAAAACAGGATAAGAGAACTGACCAGTGAAACTAACATCTTTTTTATGCTATGGCTCAGGATTTGTAACACTTTGCAATAAGAGTCCCTTTAATAATGGTACTTAGTGCATTATAAAGCAACTATTAAAATATTAACAACTGCTTAACCATATTATGTAATGCATTACTACACAGAAAACCCCCTGACCCTTTGTCCTAACTTTAAGGACACTTAATAGATAACAATAACTGAAATGTTAATAAAGGGACCCTTTGTTTATTAATCCTTAATAATGCACTAAGTAATGTTACTAAAAGGACCCTTTGTTTATTAATCCTTAATAACGCTCTAAGTAATGTTTATAAAAGGACCCTTTGTTTAATAATTAATTAAGTACTGTTAATAAAGGGACCCTTTGTTTATTAATCCATAAAAATGCACTAAGTAACGTTAATACAGGGACCCTTTGTTTGATAATTCTTAATACTGCACTAACATTAATAAAGGGACAGTCTGTTTATTAATCTTTAATAATTCACTACGTTACATTAATAAAGAGACTATTTGTTTATTAATGTTTAATAATGCAGTAAGTAATGTTAATAAAGAGACCCTTATTATAAAGTGCTAACCTGGGGTTCTATAGGTATTATCAGTGAAAGAAGAAAATATTACAATTTTTTGGTCTTTGATTTATAAAAGTTTAATTTAATCTGCAGGTTTTTCCAGTGAGGTAGTGTTTATCTAAAACAATAATGTCTGAACTCAGTTGGGGAGGTAGTGAACACATAGAGTGTGAATGAGGAGAGAGAGATAAAAATGAAACATATGCAGATGATTGTGATCAAAGTGAGTCTCCAGGGGTTAATTAAATTGTGCATTACTAAGTTTTCAACATGTGATTGAAAAAATGCAACACAACATCAAGGGCTGGTTGCATTAGCAATGCCAATAGAAATGGTGAACTGATGAATGGTTGGTGAGTGGTAGACAAGGGAAATTAGACCATCGACCGACAGTTTTAAACACTCACTGTCCAGCTGTGTTACATATAGTCTCCTACTCTAAAATAGGAGCTAACAATATTTGATGAAACCTATTACCGGGGTAATACACACGCACGCACGCACACACACACACACACACACACACACACACACACACGGAATTATCTAGTTCTTATCTTATAGTACAACCAGTCATCAATATTCCATCCATCCATCTGCTCTCTTATTTGGGACCAGGTTGCATGGCAACAGATGAAGCAGAGATCCTCAGACCTCGCTCGCTCCCCAGCCACTGCCTCTAGCTCATCCGGAGGGACTCTGAGGCATTCCCAGGCCAGCTGTGAGATATAATCTCTCCTGAGAATCCCAGATCTGCCACAAGGCCTCCTCTTTTGGCCTTTAGTAAAGAGCCACAAATCAAAAACGACATTATTATTATTTTTTTTACTGGGGGCATTTTCCAGTAATAAAATAAACAATTATTGAATTGAAATAATGTGGTTGTTTTGGTCCCAGGAGCTGCAGGAAAGGCAGGAGACTTGGTCATATCTGTGTACATTCTGCTATGACAAGTCAAAATGCCTGCTATGAAAATAGTTGTTTTAACCATGATAAACGTCTGCATGTCTAACACGTGCATTTTAGCAAATTATTAATTCATGGCTAGTTATGAAACGGTGTAAATACGTACAGAAGGTTAATAACTTTTCCTGCAGCAGCTTCTAAATCTACAAAATACCAAACATCTTAGACGGCTGCACCTTGATGTGTGCTTTGGCCTTGTTGAGCAGTCCCAGTGTGGTGTGCCGATTGCAGTCTGGTCCCAGAGGGATGAGTGACTTCAACCTTTCCAAACACAGGCGAAGATGTGCTCGCCTGTGGAAGGTAGCCAAGATAAGGGTAATTTCTCCTCTGAGACAGGATAACCCACGTACAGTGCATAAAAAATTAAGCATCTAATTATAACTTTTGAAAGTTAGAAATTAGAATTTTAATAACGCATCTATCCAGTCACCAGTTTTAAAACTACTAAGATTAGCCTGATATTTCTGATCCAGCTAACTGGGTGAACACAGTCGCCGTTTAATGACTTGCACCATGCTTTAAGGGATAAAATGTAGGTCAAATCGTGATGTCATCTCTGCATTGGCCACTATTTTGAGAATGAATCTTCCCCCATCAAAATTGCTCCTTCTCCCATCCTTTATCTCAGTAAGTCATGGTTGTACATTTAAACTTCCAGTAAATATATCCTGTTTTCTGGATAAAGCAAGTACAGAGGCAGAACAAAGCAGCAAAGTGCTGCTAGGTCCTTTCAGGAAGAAGCCCTTGTTGTCTGGAAACAGACGGTTCCCGTTTGCTGACTAGGGAAAAGTCTGCACGTCCTCTAGGAACTGGGCTGCCACTGAGGCTGTGTTTTATTTGCCTTGCAAAAGGCACACCTCTGTCCTTTATACATTTCCAAGTTTTTGATTAAACAAAGTCTTTTAAAGTGCTGTGGAGATAAGTTCATTTTACAGTGCTGTGGTAAAATCTCATGTTGACATCATACGGCTAACACATTTTGCATACATGAGATATGCAAATGTCGCCAAATGGAGAGGGAGCTTTTGGGTTGTCTGCTCCTCCTAAAAAGCAGATATTAGTCTTTGTCAGCTGACGTATCGGGTGCTGTAGCGCGCTGCATGTTGTGATAGCCAAGTGTATAAACAATGGAAGCATCGGTTGCTTATAAACCTGCATAACCTGATGTTACTCAGTAGACAAATAGTATTTTTTCTTAAATACTTTTACACTGTTAGTGGATTAATGTTTTTGGATGGCTACTCTTTAATTTTACTTGATTATATATATATATATATGTTGAAGTAGTGCTATGCTTACTCGAGAGATATGTTTTCAGCAGTAATGAAACATCTGAGCTCCATTTGTTTCCCTCGAGGTCGTAGGGATCTACATTGTCGATTGTAGACAATTTCTGAAAATACCAATCTCTAGCTTTCTTCACAAGTTTATCCCTGTGAGGGAAGCTTTCGTCCTTATTCTTTTTATCCGTCCTTTTGACTCTTGTGCTGCTTCAACTTCAGCTGCGGCCTCCCCTAGCAATGCGATTCATGCACTCAAAATGGCGTCAGGGCTGTCTGGTTGACAGGCAGGTCGCGTGTCTGACAATAAACCGTCTCAAACATTTTACCATGAATTTAAAAAGTTTTATTCCACTTGTTAGATGTTTAATGCAACTTAGCTGTTTGAGCAATAGCGCCAAATGATCTATAAGATTTCTGCGGTTGAAGAAAACCATTTATTCCCTGGTTTTTTATTTTTTAGAGCAGTGAGAAATGACCTCTTCAGTCTTGCTTCACTCACCTGTTCTTTTCCAGTTCATTATGTGCTGACCTGTTGAAATAACAAATATATAAAAAATATAAAATCTATATTAGTCAGACGACCCTGAAAACATGTCGCATGGATCATTTAACAATTGAGTTTAAACTTGAGGGTTCTTTTCCCCCTCTCTGAATTATCAACCTACCTGTTGTGAAAACTGTCCAGTTTCCTGTTCTTGAATTTACGCTGTTTCTGCTGTTGTGCAATCTGCGTTGTTGGGTATGATGAAGCATAGCCATGCTCGTATTCTGGTCAAGAATAGAAAGAAAGAAAATATCCAGTGTTCATTTTTGAAAAGCTGGATTTACTTGAAAGGACGGGAAACATAGCCTACATATATAGTTTTTTAGAAATTTGTAAAAGTTATGTTCTTTCAATGTTGTGACATAGTATATATTTCTTCAAAATAGCCACCCTTTGCTCTGATTATTTCCTGCACATTCTTGGCATTCTCTTGATGAGCTTCAAGAGGTAGTCGCCTGAAACTGTTTTTCAACAGTCTTGAAGGAACTCCCAGAGGTGTTTAGCACATGTTGGTCCCTTTTTAAATGGTCATGGTCAGGAAAATAAAGAAAACACATTGAATGAGAAGGTGTGTCCAAACTTTTGGCCTGTACTGTGTGTGTGTGTGTGTGTGTGTGTGTGTGTGTGTGTGTGTGTGTGTGTGTGTGTACATAGTGACATAATAATGTATGAGGTAACATCATAGTGTACCGCTTAGCCAATAGCAATGTCAGATTTAAATTAAAATGCAGTGCAGAGTTTTTACCTGATGAGGGCGCAACACTGACAATTTTAGGCAGAATATTTAAATTTGAACTAAGATGCACTAAAGTGTCTACAGCACGATAAGAGCACACATTTTTATAGTTTATGGAGGTAACTTGCTCTTTAAACAACCTTTTAGAAACGATTATCCACTCTTGCAATGCTAATTTTAATGAACAGCTAAAACTATCACTAACAATTTTGCAAAAAAATACAAACCTCCATAACTCACTGGTGGTACATCATTGATTTACCTCATTCAAAAACTGCCCTTTAGCCTCCTCCTAAAATATTCAAATGTTGGCACACAAAAATAAAAATCTCAACAAGTAATCATTAAGCTCCACGATTTGAGTTTATTTTGATACATAAAGTTGTGGAAATCAACATTATTTTTTAATACATAGCCATCATTGTGAGTAACAAGAGATTTTCGTTAACAATTTATATAAAACGGTATGATATGAGTCTTCCAACCTCCGACTTTTCAAACCTACTTCCGCCTATCCTATTTTCCTACCTAAGCCTACACTTCCCATAAGCCTCTCTTCTCAGTAACACGCTACGTCACATGCACTCCTGCCTCTGATTGGTTACCCACTGTGACCCTCACGCTGGGAATAGGCTTCCGGACCAATGAAAACCTCAGGATTTGTTCCATGTGGAAACCATGTGAACGACACATACAAGGAAGCCGTGGCTTCCCGAGAAAACAGTAGCAGGACTAAAAATAGGACATTTTCTAATGAAAATTAAATCAGACTCAAGGTCTGTGTGAGCAACGAGGACTGTAAACGCGACTTGTCCTTACGGATGCGATGATTCAAGGGAATAATCTGGAGGTTGGCTTTGACAAACTGAGATGAAACGAGCAGCCTAGATAGTCTCGTAGGCGTCTGTAAACCGAAATTTGCGCAAAAAATGCGTTGCAAAAGTGAAAATTGTGCAAAGGAAGAGTGCGTTTTGTTCGAACGGCAAAAAAATCAGTTTAAATAGTGGATAGGTGCAGGCAAATAATGTCGCCAGTGGATTAAAATTATTTTCTATGTTGAAATATACATTATTTTCCTTGCTTCTTTTTACAAGATCTTATTGTGCATCTATCTGCTGGGTTTATTTGCGCAGCAGCAGCAGGGGAAATAACGCAGGCTGCTGCTGTCGGGCCAGGCAGGGCATCTGTCCGCTGCGCGTCTTTTGTCGCCCTCGCCTCTATTGTTGTCTGCTCGGCGCATTAATCTCCACTCTGTTTACTTACTTCCGTTGCTCTTCTCAACGTTTTCAATGTAACTTGCTGCATCGAGCAGCACTTGCACGTTCCTCATAAAAGTGCCGATTTGGTCCATTGCGGAACATTTGGAGTAGAAAACGTCGCTGAAGGAATAGTCGGACATCTCTCCGAAATCCTGCTGGTCCTCCTCCTTAGACGCGTCAGATTCCGACAGGACCTCTTCGGGTTTCAGCTCGCTGTGCTGTCGCATGTACTTGACCATATTTTTTTGTTTTTTTCGTTTGAACTTATGGCTTTTATTGGAGGCAGGGCTTTTGACAAACGCGCAGCGCTGAATGTGCTCCCCCTTGTCCTGCGTGCGCACTGAGCGGATGACTGAAATGAACTAGGCTGGATGGAATTGCAGTCCTTAGCCTTAGCCACTTGCCCTACTTGGTGGATAATCCCTCCCACTAACGCATGCACGTTGCATTCATTGTCAACTGTTCCATAATAAATCCTCATTATCAATACTGCAGGAGAGGAGCAAATAAAGCAGAGTCTGGTGACATTCAGAAATCCTACCAGCTCTAATTCATCATAAAGACATTCAGTTCCTTCTGACTCAAACGTGATATGAATGCTAGAATTATCTGGCTTCTATTTGCATGCTATAACAAGCAGACACTATCAGACCCAATCATCTGTTCAACCTGGATATCAGCTGGCCTTAGTAATAAATATGTAATCACCTCAGGCTTTTGTGTTGCTGTAGGGCTCCACGTGCACATTCTTGAACAATACATGCTGCACACAGATGTCTGATGTGGCAATTCATTTTATTGCTCACTGCATCTTCTGTTTAATGTTGTGATTAGAGGACATAAATGCACTCTTTACATCGTTTTGAGACAACTTCCCTTTATTTTGCGCCGGTTTCCCTTTTATCTGCTGTCTTTTTATTCAATCTGTCCTAAAACACTAAAATAATCATCCACAGCTCATTCCTCTCAGCGTGTTGCAGCTAAATTGACATGAAAATTTTCTCAATAGCAACAACGACCTCACTGATGTTTAAAGTTATCTGTTGTTTGGCAACATTAACCTTCAGATTAGATCTTCTTCTGGTTTGATGGGTCTGTGTATTTCCCTTTCTTTTTTTTTTAAGAGAGAGATATTAAGAAGTCATTTTCACCCAGACTCGGAGAGGGATGGAGGAGAACAGAGGGGAAAGGGACTGCCTTTACAAGGCCAGCCATGCGTGTGGTTCTCAGACAAAAGGTGCAGATGGCTTACCCGCTGCAGATGTGGCCAGGCCTGTAACGGACGCATGTAAGAGAGAACACCCGCCCATGGTGTCTGTACCAACAAGGTCATCGACACCTTTTATCTGGACACCAAGGTGCACAATCTTACAAATGCATGAGTCGTTTTTAAAAGAAAAACTATCAATATAATCTGTCTTTTAGAGACCTAATCCAAATCTAGTGGTGCTGCTATCATTGTACTAAAAAGACACAGGACAGAGTTCAGTGGGGGAGGAAAACTGACAGCATTTCACTAAGAAAAAGTGTCATCTGCGCTGTAAGGCTGGCGGCGTGCGTGCCGCACACTGATAGCGACAGAGTGGAAAGCTGACCCACTGTAGGATGGTGTAGAATGTGACCCCAACTGCAGTAATCTGAAAAGCCTGAGGATTACACCAGTGGCTCGGCTGTCACAGAGGAGGCCAAGTCACATCTATCTATCTATCTATCTATCTATCTATCTATCTATCTATCTATCTATCTATCTATCTATCTATCTATCTATCTATCTATCTATCTATCTATCTATCTATCTATCTATCTATCTATCTATCTATCTATCTATCTATCTATCTATCTATCTATCTATCTATCTATCTATCTATCTATCTATCTATCTATCTATCTATCTATCTATCTATCCATCCATCCGTCCGTCCGTCCGTCCGTCCGTCCGTCTGTCTGTTTGTTTTCACTCCACAGTGTGCCTGACCACGTTAGCACATTGTGTAACAGGACAAAAAGATTAAAAGAAAAAATAAAGTATAAATTAGTATCTGAAGCAGATTAGTTTCTGAAAGTCGTACATTTTTAGAAACAGGAAAATAATTCAGGAAAGGCCAGAAATGTGACCTGAGAGATGCAACATACTTCCCTTAGTCAGCCGTTTTATGGAGCTTTGAGATAAAACCTCCTTGCTGGTGCTAAAATGTAATTTTATGTTGGTAACACCAGTGTTGGGGATTAATGGAATACCTGTACTGCCGTTACATGTGTGTGTGTGTGTGTGTGTGTGTGTGTGTGTGTGTGTGTGTTTTCCACATGAAAGATGAAATTTTTGGGCAATGTGTGTCTCTGTGTGTAGAATACAGGGTATATAGTCTGGCCACTGTCCATGGACAGCTCGGGGTGGGGGGGGGGGGGGGGGGATCTACAGTTGTCTTTCAGACTGTCTCTGCATGCTATTGAATAACAACCAATGTGACATACTATATGGATGTCAGTCAACGAGGGAGTCCATCATACTCTGTCAAAGAAGATGCAAATGAATTATTTTTAAAAAATAAACTTAAGTACCTCTATCTGCTCTTGAGTCAAAGAAAACCCCAGGTCAAAGTATTCCAAAGTTGATGAAGCTGTTTTAAACAAGCCGTCCTTTTATTAGCATCAGTAACATCTCACCCAACAGCAGAGTGCTGTGATTGGCCCATACCAATATACTGCTGCGATTGGATCGCTATGGTTGTCAGTCAACGGGGCAGTCCACCATTACATCATGAAAAACTACATTAAACATTAAATAACATAAAAAATGCATTGTTATTCTAAATAAACACCCTGTTAGCAGCTCCTGCAGAAAGGTTTCACTTTATCACAGAAACGGAAATATAATCTATTGACACTTTGATAAAGTAACAAAATAATTCAATTATTTTATTTTATTTTATTCCCAGTCAGTACATAATGTTTAGCATTAATATGTCCTCTTTTTTCCTGCGGTGGTAGCTACCAATGCATATTGCAACATTTAATAGACTAAATGCTGTTTTTTAAGTCCCATTAGTCATCACAAACTGGTGAAATTACATCTCTGTATTTAATCCATCCCTGTAGGAAGCGGTGAGCTGCAGCGGTGGCTGCACTCGGGAACTATTTAGTGGTTTAACCCCCCAATCCAACCCCTCAAAGCTGAGTGTCAAGCAGGAAGGCATTGGGTCCCATTTTTAAAGTCTTTGGTATGACCTGACTCCCAGTCTCAGGGTGGACACTCTACCACAAGGCCACTGAGAATGCCTAGTTGGGAAAGGAAGTATTCCAAGTATTTAGAATAAAGTACCAGGATTAGGCAAAGTAACGGGATACATGACACCCATCAACAGATAGTACCTTTTAAAGCGGGTATTCAGTATTCTGTAACTAAATACATTTACAAAGTATTCTCCCCAACACTGGGTTAAACTTTACAATCAGGGTCCCTTTATTTATATTAATAAGTGCATTAAGCATTAATAAATGGTTTATTTATTAATGTTACTTGGTGCAATAATAAACAATGGGTCTTTGTATTAACATTACTTTCTGCATCATTAAGCATTAATAAACAGAGTCTCCTTATTAATTTTGCTTAGTAATGCATTACATAATATGGTTAAGCAGCTATTACGTTATTTATTAATGCACTAAGTAACGTTAATAAAGGGACTCTTATTGTAAAGTGTTACCTTTACGTCTGTCAAACTGAGTTTCCATTTTATTCACACATTTTCCAAAAGATTGTAACAAATCTTTTTTTTTTACAGGCTGCAGGCAACAAACAATCTGAATAAATAATGTATAAAAGTTGCTTTTTTGCTCATTTGTTATAAAGAAACGTTAAGAATAAGAATTTATATGAATTTCAGGTCACAGTGAAATAGCTGAAGCCACAAAGATTTTACTGAATGGGCTGAAAGTGAGAAAAACAGCCAAAGACCAAAGAGAAAAATTTTATCTGATACACTTATAATTTCATGTGAAAATTGTATTTTTACGAAGCAAAATATGACGAAACACAGGATGACTCAGGACCGCTGCTGCAATATCTGAAGATGTTCTCGCTCACTGGTGGTCTGATGACTCTGGTTTTGGTTTTAGACACCAGATGCACTTTGCCCTGAGGTCATAACACAGACACACACTAGCAGGGCATGTGTCACCTGCTCTTTGTTCTCTTTACACATTTTATAGGCTTCCCTGTAACCTATAAGCGCCGCGAGGGACTGATCAGATAGCAAGTGTGGATACTTGCAAAGGTCATGCTAAAAAGATGGAAGAAAATGTGTGAAAATCAAATTTTAATATTCTATATTATTAATTTAATCTAGAGTTAAGTATGCTTTAAACAGAAATGTGAATGGCTTCAGCTTTTCCTCGCCAGATGTCCCCTCAGAAGTGTGTTTGTGTTTCAGGGGTCGTATAGGTGCAAGATCCTGTCACTCCCCCAACACGAACACCTGTTGGAGACACCAAATCCCCTCTTTGTCTCCACAGCCCCCCTCTCAGTGCATTACCATGGCAACGCTCATTCATATCATTCGCTGGAGACTGATTATGCAGCTTCACACGGTCAATTATCACCACACAGAGTAAGCCCAATGTTTTTAAGGGGTCGCTGCATTTATAAAAGAGGGAGGAGTGCATTTAGTTATAATAAAAGCTTTATTTCATATAGGTGGTTTTAAAAAGGTTCTCATTTGGACATCCTATGCATCAAAGTGAGATTAATTCAATAGATGCAATCACAAATATACTTCAACTTTTATTACTTCAAGTAGAAGGAAGTTTCAAAGGACTGACATAGAAGCAACTTAATGTAAGTCATTATGGGAAAACCATGAGAGATAAACAGCAATGTAAACAACAGGTGGAAATATGTAAAAAAGGAATAAAACTTGTAAACACACAAGGAGCTTATGATACAGAAACTGTTAAAATATCTATATTAGACTGTACTGCCGTAGTTTTCATTAAAATTTGGTTTAGCATGACAAAAGGACGTCACAAAAACAAACTTATTTACAAAAAGTTTGCTCCCTTTGGGTTCAAACCAATCATTCACATTGTTGACCGGGATGCAAATATCTGGTCCTTTATCAAACTTTAAAAGTGACCCAGATAAAATAAAAAATAACTAAAGCTTTCAGAGACAAAGCGGCTCCAAAACCTCCATCACATTCAACCAACATGGCACTTAGCCATCCCAAAACAATTATGATTAATTTTCTCTCATTAACAAAATTACAAAGACTTTGCTGAACTCTCTCTGTTATTCACAGTCGATTCCTCGTCACAACAACAAAGCAGCAAACAAGGGAACAGCGAGTAAAAACAAACTGTTATTATTAATAATCACAGCATGTTTAGTAGAAGACAATCAATTCATTTATGCAACTATCAAACACTCTATTGTTATACAGGTACTATTAACATATATTATTACAAGTATATCTGTGATTATGTTCAGATACAAATTTTTATTAGGCTAAATGTAGCATAAATTTAAAACCAATTTTATGATTGTTAAATTTAATGTGATAAGAAAAATCTGAATCTAAGTTTACATTCGACAACCTGTGCAATGATGATTAAAATAAACAAGTATGTAAATGTTTTCCATGTGAATTCCTAAGCCCGGTCCCATTAAAAACATGGGTGATGCTGACAGGAATGCAGTCTGCATTCAGGTTTGATCTGATTTCAGCTCCCAATCGTCGATCCTCTGTCCATTTGATCACACTTCCTGAAAGTATACGACGAGACCTAGCCTGACTTATCTTATTTCACTTCCCTTTAGCACAAACACACTAAACAGGGCGATTCAGGTGTATAGATTCAGACTATAGAGAAAAAAAAACACTCAAGCTTCTCCATGCTTTCGTTCTTTTTTAAACACAGAAACAGTTTTGTTTACCTGTTTGTAGCTACGGTTTCGCCGACAGCTGCCGGCTTCTTCAGGCTGACGCCGGCAGCTGTCGGCGAAACCGTAGCTACAAACAGGTAAACAAAACTGTTTCTGTGTTTAAAAAAGAACGAAAGCATGGATTTACAAAGACACAGCAAGAACACACCTAAGATACTCAAGCTTCTGTTTTTTCCTTCTCTTCCTTCTTTTTCTTGCTCTTTTTCAAGAATGAAGGTGTGCGGAACTTGTTTTTCTTTTTCTTGGGGGACTTGGTTTGGCTCTCAGGGGTCTGAGGCTCCCCCGTCTTCTCCTTTGTCGTCATGGAGATTTCAACAGTTTCAGAGGTGCTCACGCTCAGCTTGGACACCTCGATGCTCAGGTCCTCTTCCGTCTCTGACAAGTGGTCCTTCCCGTTGGGTAGTGTCTCTGCCAACACATAAAATTAAGACAGAGAAGATGCAACATTAGGTAGAATCACTCAGAAAAGGCAGTAATAATCAATCTAAACAGAAAGCAGCAGGATTTGGTGTCTTGTTCATTATTATTTCCTGATGTTTGGACATCTCGCCTCAGAGCAACATGCCTCTACCACTGTCTGTTTGCTTTGCAACGTTGATGTTTTATCTCCACAAATAGCTCAGGCCTGAAGGAGTCCTGCCATAATGTCACGTTGCTAATGCTAATGGTCAGCTTCTACAAGCCAAGGCGTTCTCTGCTCTTTCCTGGATGCTAAATCAGCAACAGCCTCCTGCGGTCTCAAACAAGGTGGGTGAGCCCATGAAGGAAAATTTACAGCATGACATAGATCCTTGTGCCCTTTTCTGACCCCAAGGTTTCCCCATTTATTATCTACCGGGAGCTAATGCAGGAAATAGAGGTAGAAGACTAGAAGACAGCAAATTTGCTCCTTAAAGACTTACGTGTTCATAAGGTCGCCAGCTCTGCATTCGTCTCAGTATGTTTGTAAATTGTCGCGCTGTGACTGACATCTGTAAATAAGTGGATGTCTAAGACTATTGGCTAATGCTGAGCGGTGCTCAACTTAAAAAGCATCAGAGCTATGGGAGGGACAGCAATAGCTCAGGAGGTAGAGCGGACTGTCCAGGATTAGAAAGGTAGCAGGTTCAATCCCGGCTCTGACCAGACAATGCTGCTGTTGTGTCCTTGAGCAGCCCACCCTGCCTGCTGGTGGTTGTCGGAGGGATCGGTGGCGCCAGTGTTTGGCAGGCTCCGCCTCTGTCAGTACGCCCCTTTGGCTACACTGTAGTTCATCCTCATCAGCGTGTGAATGACTGATTGTGTTGTGAAGTGCCTTGGGGGGATGTAGAACCCTAAGAAGGCGCTATACAAATATAGGCCATTTACCATGTTGCCTACATTATTTCAAAGAACATGTTATGACAATCGCTTTTACTGATTTCTAAAAGAATCATAGATAATTCCTAAGGGAGAAACTCCAGATTACCAGTTGATTTATTTCGTAAGCATAGATGCGCTCACGCGCACTCATATTGACAGACGTTTTAAATTCATACTTCTCCATTGATGTCAGAGTTGTGAAGCTATTCTCCATCAGGACTGTAGGGGGCGTGGAACTCTACTGGTGGGTCTGCCTACCATTCAGTGACGTCTCTGGTTGACGGGGTTATTCACTTCAGCTTGTAAGCGCTAATATCTTCAAGGAGGTGTGAATCTAAATTCAAATTTTTGATTCTAGTGGTGATATTGTAATTTGAGACTTTTCCTAATTTGTTAAATAAAGTTATGAAAAAATGTTTGTAAACACCAAGTCAGGCTGTACTGCAGAGACACATTTCTGGGGCATTGACAAAAAAGTGGATTCTGATCTCAAGGAACAACAAATTTTGTTTACAAAGAACGCAACGGGAGCAAAGAAGGCAGCGGCATCAATAAACTGTCCATCCACCGACGGCAACATGTTTGTTGGGCCAACCAATCAAAGACACGCGTTCTTCGTTGCGTTCGATGAAAAGTAAAAAAACTGGGCTCTACTCCGTCTGTCCTTGCCTGTCGGGGAGCGATTGCGCTGCGTGTCTCTGCACCTCAGCAGACAGAGAATTATAAACTAGGCTTTACCATCTTTAGCTGGTGTCATTATGGGAGAGAGCGAGAGGGATATGGTAGAGCCGTCAAACGTTGTCATCTCATCGGCATCTGTAGCATCATCATCATCATCCGCTGTAAAGTCAAAAAGAATAGTCGATTTACAGCACCCATGCTGTTGGCAACACAAATACAAACCAGAAATAAGACAATGGGCTGATCTGACTAGTTTCATCCATCCGTTTTAGCCGACATGACTGACGCTTCAATGAGAATAATAAAGGTGTTAGCCTGATGCACGGTCACACAGATGTTTCTCTCCTGTGCACACGTTTCATCCTTAAAAACCGTCATAACCCAGACATGATGGGTTTGACAAGACTGAAGTCTTTGCAGCTCATCTCTCACCATCCCGTGAGCTGACTTCACAGCACAGAGAGAAAGAGAAACAAGGAACTGACAGCTGTGTCCCAGTGGCATTTGCATTTTCTGGAATCTAACAACATTTTCTCGAGGCAGGAATTAAAAGCTCCAGATGGAATAAAAAACTGCTTTAACGATGAGGGAACGGCTCAGTTGTTGCGTTTGTACCTTCTTGGCCTTGCCGTTTTCTCTCCACCAAGCTCTTGTACTCTTGCAGGACCTTCTCTGTGAGCTCATTGAAGGGGTTGGGGGGAAGTGAGCGGGCTTTGTCCTCATCTTCATAGATGAAAGCCTAAGTGTTATAATAACCAGATAATACATTTGATTTAGCTTTTCAGGTCAACATCTAGATGATAAAATGGTAAAAATAAAGTTTTTATAATAAATTACTTACTGGTCCTGGTATGGTATCCACGACAATGCCGGCCAGTAACTGTGACTTTGGTCCTGCAGTCATCTGATCTCCTCTGTGCTGTTCTTTGATCTGTACACACACAAGTTAAAAAAAAAAATCGTGATAAATTGAATTAATTTTTTTTGTTTTTACAATTATTTGAATCTATTTTTTTAAAAAGGAAGTCTGGGCCTCTCTGCTTAGACTGCTGCCCTCGTGACCCGACCCCGGATAAGTGGACAATAACGGATGGATTTTTCAAAAACCAAATATAGCTATTATCTTTAATTTTCTTCTACTATTATGGACATTTGTTTGATTTTAGTATTTTATTTTTAAGGTTTTAGGACTTGTGTGAATTGCTAATGTTTCCTCAGTTCCTTAATATTACAGATAATACTACACTCAATCTATTTTTTATTAATTATGTCTGCTCTTACTGTACATTGTTCATTTTCTATGCTACATTTTTACTTCATCCATCCATCCGTTTACTTCTGCATATCTGGAGTCAGATCGCAGCAGCTTAAATCAAGAGGCCCAGACCGCCTTTAGGTCTCTCCTCGATTGGACGTGCCCGGAAAACCTCACCAGGGAGGCGTCCAGGAGGGCATCCTAACCAGATGCCTGAGCCACCTCAACTGGCTCCTCTCGATCTGGAGGAGCAGCGGGTCTACTCTGGGCCCCTCCCGGATGACCGAACATCTCACCCCATCTTTAAGAGAGAGCCCAGACACCCTGCGGAGAAAACTCATTTCGGCCGCTTGTATCGGCGATCTCGTTTTTTCGGCCACTACCCAAAGCTCAAGAGCATAGGTGAGGGTAGGACTGTAGATTGACTAGTAAATAGAGAGCTTTGCCTTCTGACTCTGCTCTCTTCACCACGACAGACCGGTACAACGCCCGCATCACTGCAGATGCAGCACCAATCCGCCTATCGATCTCACGCTCCAGTTCTCCCTGACCCGGAGAAGGCGTTTTCTGAATCAATGTTTTACCAAATTCTCTCATAAAAAAGCACTAAAAAAATGTTGGACACACTGTTCAGATCACATCTGTGTTGAAAGTGACACAAAATGTTTAGAAAAAGAAACAAGTGGGCAACTACAATTAGTAGATTTCAATAAAACAAAATTTCTGAGCTGTGTGAGTAAACTGAATATTTGGACCAAAGCATTTTAAAGGTTTAGTTGTGATTCCATATCTTTTAAGAAATGATAGATGATGATTGAAGAAAGTTATAAAATGTGAGATAACTGACCCGGTTTCTCTTACTCAGAACCTCAGAAGGATTGGTGTTCAGCGGGACAAACTGGTTTGGGTCCTCAATTTTTATTGGGGTGCCCATGCTGTTGCCCGGTTGTGAGGACTTCATCCACTGAGAAGACAAGAAGATATAAACAGATTTAAAAACCTCATTTTGAAAAATGCTGTTACAAACGCTGCCACAAGAGGGCAGACAAACACAAAGAACAGGCAGCTTGAAAACTAAAGTCTGCCTCAGAACCCAAAGCAGATGGGATTAGATGATGACACTTTTTGTAACAATGGGACATAAAAAAAAAAAAAAAAAAAAGCAACGCACTGTGATTTTGGTCCTGGGGCTGACTTCCCCGCTGGGAGAGCGTTCGGGTACATTGACCTTCAAGTAGCTGTTGGGTGAGGTGAGCCACCGAGTCCTTTCCCTCTGCTGTTTCGGCACCATAAACTTTAAGGGGCTGTGCAGACCCGAATCACTGTCCTCCACCGGCAGAGCAGACACCGTGGCAGGGATCTCCACATCGTTCTTAGAACGAGGTTTCTCACGGACAATTGGGTTCCGATAAGCGTGGCCTGTTCTGTATCCCTGCCAGATCACATGGGAAGTTCAGCAAAATGACAAAAGACAAGATGTGCACAGAACCGGGAGTAGAGCTAATATTTTACCACCACACAAACAGAAAACATGGCTGAATCAAGTGAACTCCTCAACCACAAACCTCATTCACTTCTTTAGGAAAAACAAACAAACCAAAATGAATGTCGGTGAATTTTGATTTGAGGAAAAGCCAAATCCAACGTGAGGTGGAGCAGAGCTCCTCCAACAACCGTGTGTGTGGCCTGTGCTGCTGCCCACAGAAAGCCATTCCTGTCTGAAGGCTATGATTGAGAGGACAGCTGAGTAATGATTGCACAGAGTTAACGCAGCTGCAGTCTGCTACAGCCACAGCTGTTAGCAAGAAGCCCCCTCAAACAGACAGCGTGACATCTTCTCTGTCCGCAGAACACGCCAGAGCCTTGTCATTATCAGTGGAGATAGACTGGCAGACAGCCTGTTAGCTGCAAGGAGCAGGTCGTTTAACACACACACACACACACACACACACACACACACACACACACACACACACACACACACACACACACACACACACACACACACACACACACACACACACACACACACACACACACACACACACACACACACACAAACACGAGATTTAGAATGAGGCATAATGCAAACAGCATAAAACAGCCACATTTGATTAAATAAATTACATTTCAGATTAGATTAACGAACAAAAATCCACTTTCATTGTGTTCTCTAATCAGCCACTTCCTGAAGGAAGGAAACACAACGCCTGATGGGTAAAAAGTCACAGGTCAGGGTTCACCCACCAGGTTGTCCAGCATCCTCATGAGAGACTCGAACTCGGCCTCGCCTACTTTCCACTTGACCTCGTTGTCCACCACCACCCCGGTAGCGGCCACTCCTTGGGTCAGCGGTTTGAACTTCTCCCTGTCCAGGAGCACAAGTCCGTTCACGTCGCTCGAACACCTCAGGACATTCACCTAAACGACAACACAACAAGTCTAAAAGCTGTGTTTAGATTGTGCTGCAAGCTACATTATTGTTGTTGACTGAAAACATTTTATATATATATATATATATATATACATATATATATATATATGTATATATGTATATGTAGAACAAACTTCTTTGTGAAATCTGGTGTTTACTTGTGGAAAAATAACTCAAATGCAGTCCAAGAGCAGCCGTTTGTGCACATATTTAACTTGGATTTGCTGAAATCTGCTCGCTGTGCATCCGTCTCTGGCACGGTTTTGTCTTGAGCCCGACTCTTACATTTAAACAAGTTTTGAAAGTGAAATATGAAAAAGAACCTATTTATGCACACCGCACTCTGCTGACTCAGACGGTGTCAAGGGTGAGTAAAGGCCACAGTCGAGTTCACAAACAGCTATGACTCGCGTGATGCTTCTATGCCTCGTTAGCACGCCACTGAATTTCAGGAATTAAAACAAACTCTCTACCTGGATTTCACAGGCTTGCTGGGAGTGGTACACATAGTGAAAAGCTTCTTCTACAGTTTCTCCTAAAGCCAGAAGCCCGTGGTTCCTCAGGATCATCACCTAAAAACACAGAAAAAAGGAAAATACTGAATAAATAATTAGGGCTGGGTAAAAAAAATCGATTTAATCGATTTTGGATCGATTTCATATACATTTTGTGAAATCGATTCATTAGGCCTAAGATCGATTTTTACCCTTCAACCAGAGTGGCCCGCTGGCTCATTTTGCTGCAAAGACTACAAATCTCATGGTGCTTTACGGCATCAACGCGTCAGCCAAAGCGCCCTTCCTTTCTGTTCGTGGTCATTAGCATCCTTGCTAGTATCGGCGTCTGCAGCGTTACCCTCCTCAGTCTGGGACAAACTGAAAACACGCATTTTACTCAGCGCCAAGTTCACTCAGTGCTTTGTCAACTTTGAGGCTCAGAAATGGAGATTCCAACAGCTCAGTAACCTGTTCGCGGGCCACGGCAGACATAGAGTGCACCAATGACCAGACGGATTTAACGCCAGTGAAGTAAACAGTCAGAGTTCCTGGCTGCTGCTGTTTCTATCCGTCCTCCCCGACACAGACCCAGCTCAAGCTGCTCAGATGCTCTCCATGTTCAGCAGCACAAACCAGTGAGAGCAACTGTTGTCTGATGAAAATGAACAAAAACAACAGAGGAGTCCCACTGATGAACTCCTCCCTCATCTCAGAGATACAGAGAGAGATGCATGTATCTGGCTTGAACAGGTGAGCATGAGAGTGGAGCAAACTGAGCTTGAATTATTGTGTTTTTATGCAGTTTTTCTGCTCCAAAGCATGAAGGTTAATAGTTGAGATATTGCATTTTTATTTAGGAGAATTACTTTTTTTCGTTTTTTTGTTGCTGGCCTGTTAAAAAGTATTGAACCAACTTTTAAACAGGAACTGGAAAGGCTACAGATAGAAGAATAGAATAGAAATAGAAGAAAAAATCCCTTTGTCGTCCCTCAGTGGGGAAAGTTTGCTGTCACAGCAGCAATTACATTCATTACAGGAGCAAAAAAGGTGAGTAAATTTTAATAATAAAGAGTAAACAACAAAAACACATAAAATAGAAATACTTAAAATTCAAAAGATTAAAATAAATTCTTTTTGAATATATATACACATCTTAAGGAATAAGATTTCAAAAATGAGACATAACAAGTAACCAATACCACTGATGTGTGTTTTTTTTTTCAAATTAACTTGTCCATGTGTAAATTGTTTATTCCAGATTTAGTGTTCACGCAAAAATAAGTTTTTTTTTCCAAAGGAAAGGGTTCAACAATACATATTTATAAAGGATTATGTGCACATTTGCCATAACTTTCAATAATACTGAGTTTGGCCTGCGACTTTGTCCCAGTTTTTCATTTCGGCCCAGTGTGAATTTGAGTTGGACACCCCTGACTTATCGTTAAGAAGCTTGTCTAAATGATAGAAACGTTGTTTTCTACCTCAGCATTTTAATTATTTAAGACCAGACTGAATTCAACTGAATCGAATTGAATCGAATCAAATTGGATCGTGATTAATCGATTCAGAGCCTCAAGAATTGAAATCGAATCGATCTAGCAAATTGGCCACAATACCCAGCACTATAAATAATGGAGGTTAAATAGTTTTCAGCACATTCAGACATGGTACTTTTAACATTTCCTGCCGATGAAGTCAGCATCTATAAAACAAAAACGAGTGGAGGTCTGACGATACATCATGGCTGCTTTTCAATATCAATAAGAAATGGAAAAACATTGATTTGAAGTGGAGACTAGAGGGTAACTGAAGAAGTCTGGAAGAAAACTAGCCACTTTCTGGCTTTTGAAATAAAAAACTCTCAAACATTCATGCATGGCTTCAGAAAAGAATCCTCCTAAGTTTTCAGCCACACATTTGCAACAGGTACAGCCAAGACCTATTGAACTACAAATGCAATAAAACATGCATCAGCTATTCTGTTGCCATATCAATTCTGTCTTTCATCAATAAATGTTTCAACACTTTATTCTTTTGCAGCAGGATGAATTAGGATGATAAAAAAATCCTTAATCCGTGTCTGTCTGCAGAGGGAATACCTGCCAGGTCAACCCTGGAAATAAAGTTGTATTTTCAGACAGTCCTATGTATTTGTGGGATTTGGCCTGAAGCAAACACGGTGCAGATTCATGACTCATCACTTCAACCTGCTCGTCTGCAGTCTGAGGCTGCTTCTTTTCATCTAATTTTTTAGTTTTGCTTAGAGTTTAGACTCTATTATTATGATTCCTTCTGGAACATTTTTCATATAAGATATTGTTTTCGTGGACTGCTTGTTTGTTTCCTCTCATTTATTGTGAGCTTGTGTGAATCTAAAAACTCAAGCACCCTTTGACGCATGTGTTGAATCCTCTTCTCGAAAGACTATCAGAAACTTTTCCATGTTTTTCAGATGACAGCTCCACCGGGGCCAAGCTTCCTGTCAATCAGTCAGGTGCAGAAGTGTGAAAACTGCCAGAGTTCTTTTATCTGCAGAAGAATTAGCAAATCTAGCTCAAGCAGGTGCTTGTTTGTGATTAATATTCCTCCTCCTGAACAATTCTCTATAGCTGATCATGAGTTTAGCTTCCAGCTCCAGAAATTGAGATTTCAATTTTCACATCAAACACCCCTTAACTCGACAGGCCACTTAGGGCAAAATCAAGAGCTAGAAGATACACTCTCTGTCTGCGGTGAAATCTTGCCGTCCAACTTGAACGAACCTCTCTTGTGAGCTTTAGGCTAACAGTGTGGTGACAGTGATAGTCTCCGCTAAGTTGTCCCTCCTACGTCACAACATCGATGCTAGATTTTTATTGAAGCTGCCTTTTTGCACAGCTAAAGACAAATGACAACATCTGAGAATTACTCAAACACTGAAAAGTGTGCTCAACTTTTATTTTTTCACCAAAGAGAAAGATGTTTATGATTTTAAAACAACTTAAAAGATGGACTTTAAAGAGCAGGTGCACTGAAAATAAATTTTTTTAACTTAATTTTATTTAAAATGATTGGTCACTCTGACGTTAACGTGCAGGCTAAACGTAAAAATAGACTTTCCAACATTAGCTTTCGGAAAAACTCTCAGCTCAGAAAATCCTAGCATTCATGGACTCATCCATTATGGCTCATGCTGGGGAAGGTGCCACGAAATAGGAAAGAACCACTCAGCTAGTAGAAGCTAACAGTTAGCATTAGCATTTCTGCACACAGCAGAACTTCTCCAGGCTTGTGTTATTTGTGGAGATAAAACATCAATATTGCAGAGCTAACTGAGTCAGTGGTAGAGTCATGTTGCTCTTAGCCAATCAGAGGGGAGATGTCCAAACATCAGAAAATCCTGCCGCCTGAAGCTCCTTTCTAATTTAGCTGACACCTATGTCCTCAAACTGGCGCACCGGAGCTTTTTTCCCCAGAAAATGACTTACAAGGCATTATTCCTACTACAGACATCTGCAAATGTATCAAAAATATGCGTAAAATTGAGCTTTAAAGGTTTTTATAACTGATCTAGCAACTAAATCTGCACACCTGCTCCTTCATAAACATGATTTATTCCAGTCAAACTGAAATGAAATGATAAAGCATCACAGGTGATCAAATCAGGCTGTTTCATTGGCTGTAAAGCAATATCGTGATGTCTCTTTTGGTTGCCCAGCAACCAGGTGATGTGAGGATCTAAGCAAGTTTGCATCAAGTCACAAATACTTCAAAAATGAGAAATGTTGTTCTAACAGGACAGAGTAGAACCAGCTGTTTAAAAAAACCACAGAATGATTTATTAATAAAACCTACAGCTGATATTCAGAGGGAAACCTTTACAGATTTTTGAAGCAATGAGACATTTTCTTGATGAAAGGTGCATCATTTAACTTGTAAATTTTAGCATGTATGACTGTGGATTTCGCTTGTAAATGAAAAAGAACACAAATCTAATTAGAATTATGTGTGTTTGACATCAGTTACTATCCCACGTGAAAGGCTTTTAATAGAGTGCTTCAGCTTGACGGTACCTTGGCAGTTGGGCCCAAAGCTTTCTGAAACTCCACCTTCTCCTCTTTATTATCCAGGCTGCCATGGTAACCGAAGGAGCTCACGTCTCCCAGAAGCAAAGCCTCCTGGGAAATGGGCAGGATTCCACACTTCATCGAGGACACCTGTTAGCGTGGGATAAAAACAACTGAGACTGTGATGCGCCAGCGTCTCATCAGAGGCGTAGTTTTTAGCTTCCGGGCACGTTTAAAAGCAAGGCTGTGCGGCGATGCTCGTGTTGTGTTTTCATAGCCAAGCTTCAAAAGAGAAGTGGTAAAAATACACTACAGAGTGTCTGCAATGATCGGGCACGCCTTTCATGCGACCATCATCCTCTGCTGCAGAGTAAAACAGTGGCTTCTGAGCAGGTTTAGGAGGAGGCTACTTACAGCAGCTGTAGCGGATGTGTGTATGTGGATGATACATCTCACATCGGGCCGCATTGAGTAAATGGCAGCGTGTGGAGCAAATCCAAAATGGTCGATGCTCAGTTCAGTAGAACCCTGGTCCACAACCTCACCAATGATGTTCACTTTCACCTACATGTGGCAGAAAAAAATAAACAAGCCAAAGTTAGTAAAATGAGACTAGTTTTAGCACTAATTTGCAAGATTTAAACAACTATTTTGGTCTTTTTGGCATTCAATCAGTTGTAAATAGCTTTCTGAATAGCCTCAGTTTGGAGAAATAGAGTTTATTTAAAACAAATGGGGGAGTAGAGGGAAGTGGAATACAGTCAGTAAAGAATATTCTCCCTGGCCCTGCCTCCCACATGCCTCCATATGAAAGGCTGCCTTGGTTATCCTGAATTATCTCTGTAGTTATGCTGCCAGGGGGAGTCTAAGTTGGCTCCCCTTCCGGTTGGCTCCCCGGAAGAATGAAAAAAATGGATGCAAGTCAATGGGGCTAGAAGAGCGATCTTCTAATCCACTTTGCCTCACACCCTGAATTGAACATGTTGTACTTAACTGTAAATGAAAAGTAATGATGTGTGTTTTGACCACGCCTGTCACATACTTTGAGATTTATCAGCTTGTAAAAGTTCGTAATTAGCATGACTACAAACCAGACGTCGGCACGCCAGATATATGTCACCACAGAACCTCCTCTCCCCTAGCGTAGCTGCAACTTACCACGTGGCCAGATTTATGGTGGTTCTTTCATCCTGAATGAAGGATTTGAAGTTTGCTGAACTTACAGCCATTTTTCCTCTGCTTTCCTCCCTGTCTGGTTCGATGATGTCACATTGGTGATGTGCATCATTTTGGTAATGGACTTATTTTCACACAAAACCTAAAATAACACTCCCCCCGTTCAGAAATGAGTACTTTCTTGTTATCAAAATGCGTATTTAAAATTCACAGATACCATATATGAAATCCATGGAACATAACAAGCAGAATTAGAAAATAGCGTTTTTAGCCCCGTTGACTTGCATTCATTTTTTTGTACTTCCAGGGACTCATGAGCCAGAAGTAGATGGGTGTGACTTAGGCTCCTAAGGCTTAGACTGGAGGACATGCTGACTACTTTTCCATATTTCTTCTACCACTACTCTCCTAATATATTATTTCCTGTAGTTTCAGCTGTTATCTTTACGGTGATACCGTTTAGGAAGTGGCCACTGGCTGGCGCACTAATGCCAAACACTAAACATTCCCACTGTTCTGATATTAGCTTTTTACTGTCTCCAACATAAAAAGTACTTCTGTTTTTTGTGTTCTACTCTTTTCAAAACCCCAGCTGTTCATGGAAGATGGCCGCTCACTCTGAGCCGGGTTCTGCTGGAGGTTTCTTGCTGTTAAAAGGGAGTTTTCCTTTCCATTGTTGCTACATGCTTGCTTAGTATGGGGGATTGCTGTAAAGGCACTTAAAAAGTCACATTTTTTTATTTTTAGTTCTTATAATCAGCCAAAATATTTATAGCTATTGGTAGGTTGGTACTACAAGAAAACAGCATCAGCCATCAAAACCAGAACTGTTCACTCTCTATGTACTATGCAGGTCAAATTCAGTAGGGATTTCTTATATTACAAAAATGATAGTAATATAAAAAATTATAAAAGATAATGTTTTGATTTGCTGCTTTAAAACATTTGGAGATTGGAGCTGTTTAAAGATGACAGCAAGACATTTTGGTCTTGGCTATAGTTGGTCTAGTCATTAGCATATCAATCCTAAAGGATGTAAACTTTAAAATGTGGCAATTCAGGGAGCTATCTACAGTGGGTAAAAGTATTTAGTACAACTTCATACAGAAATATACATCAAAATGGTTAAAATGTCCCTTTTTGGTGTTTTAGAATAAATAATTCCTGCAAATGACGCACAAAAGTTAACATCCGTGTGTGTGTGTGTGTGTGTGTGTGTGTGTGTGTGTGTGTGTGTGTGTGTGTGTGCCTTGATCTGAAGCCTCATGCTCAGCTCACAAAATAAACAGGAAGTCCAATAGCAACATTAACCCCGGGGCTGCAGGGCTTTCCATGCTGCCAGCTGTTGGTCTAACAGCTGACCTCTCCTGCCAATTAGGTTGTTATATAATGATTTTAACAAACATACCATCATGTTTTAGCTTTATGGAGTGTGATATATTTTTATTTTCTTCGACTTTTACCAACTTGTTGCCAAGAGAATCTTCAAAGGGTAGCTACAGCGGGGCAAAAAAGTATTTAGTCAGCCACTGATTGTGCAAGTTCTCCCACTTAAAATGATGACAGAGGTCAGTAATTTACATCATAGGTACACTTCAACTGTGAGAGACAGTATGTGAAAAAAATCCATGAATTCACGTGGCAGGATTTTTAAAGAATTTATTTGTAAATCAGGGTGGAAAATAAGTATTTGATCACTTCAAACAAGGAAAATCTCTGGCTCTCACAGACCTGTAACGTATTCTTTAAGAAGCTTTTCTGTCCTCCACTCGTTACCTGTATTAATGGCACCTGTTTGAACTCATTATCTGTATAAAAGACACCTGTCCACAGCCTCAAACAGTCAGACTCCAAACTCCACTATGGCCAAGACCAAAGAGCTTTCGAAGGACACCAGGAAAAGAATTGTAGACCTGCACCAGACTGGGAAGAGTGAATCTACAACAGGCAAGCAGCTTGGTGTGAAAAAATCAACTGTGGGAGCAATTGTCAGAAAATGGAAGACATACAAGACCACTGATAATCTCCCTCGATCTGGGGCTCCATGCAAGATCTCATCCCGTGAGGTCAAAATTATCATGAGAACGGTGAGCCATAATCCCAGAACCACACGGGGGTACCTGGTGAATGACCTGCAGAGAGCTGGGACCACAGTAACAAAGGTCACCATCAGTAACACACTACAACGGCAGGGAATCAAATCCTGCAGTGCCAGACATGTTCCGCTGCTGAAGCCAGTGCATGTCCAGGCCCGTCTGAAGTTTGCCAGAGAGCACATGGATGATACAGCAGAGGATTGGGAGAATGTCATGTGGTCAGATGAAACCAAAGTAGAACTTTTTGGTATAAACTCAACTCGTCGTGTTTGGAGGAAAAAGAATACTGAGTTGCATCCCAAGAACACCATACCTACTGTGAAGCATGGGGGTGGGAACACCATGCTTTGGGGCTGTTTTTCTGCTAAGGGGACAGGACGACTGATCCGTGTTAAGGACAGAATGAATGGGGCCATGTATCGTGAGATTCTGAGCCAAAACCTCCTTCCATCAGTGAGAGCTTTGAAGATGAAACGTGGCTGGGTCTTCCAACACGACAATGATCCCAAACACACCGCCCAGGCAACAAAGGAGTGGCTCCGTAAGAAGCATTTGAAAGTCCTGGAGTGGCCTAGCCAGTCTCCAGACCTCAACCCCATAGAAAATCTGTGGAGGGAGTTGAAAGTCCGTGTTGCTCGGCGACAGCCCCAAAAAATCACTGCTCTCGAGAAGATCTGCATGGAGGAATGGGCCAAAATACCAGCTACTGTGTGTGCAAACCTGGTAAAGACCTATAGTAATCGTTTGACCTCTGTTATTGCCAACAAAAGTTATGTTAAAAAGTATTTAGTTGAATTTTTGTTATTGACCAAGTACTTATTTTCCACCCTGATTTACAAATAAATTCTTTAAAAATCCTGTCATGTGAATTCATGGATTTTTTTTCACATTCTGTCTCTCACAGTTGAAGTGTACCTATGATGAAAATTACTGACCTCTGTCATCATTTTAAGTGGGAGAACTTGCACAATCGGTGGCTGACTAAATACTTTTTTGCCCCACTGTATGTTGGCTGTAGGCAGCTTTGGACACCTGTGGAAATGTTTTAGCCATGAATCAAGAGAAGATGCATCTCAGTTGACCCGCTGTTACAAAGTGCTAATGAGCAATGACAAATCTATTCCACATACAGGTTTAAGGGGTCATGGTTATCAGGAGGAAGGCCTACAGACACCCACTGGTGTCAACGTTCTTGTCACGTATGTCCCACTGGAAACTCACACCAGTAGAAAAGATGGTTATGAAACTACATGTAGGTCCAACAGTTCAGTGTGGAAAAAATATTTTAGATTAATAAATACATGTTTTAAAAGGTTTTTATGTTTTGTCTCTTTAATTTCATTTGGAAATAAAATAAAATGATACTATTGAATTATACCATTCCACAAATATTTAAAAACATGTATTATTCCTGGGTTGGTATTAAATGTTGAATATTTCAGAGGAAAATATGTGCTTAAGATCACATTTGTCAACGTTTCTGGAAAATCTCTTGAATGGTTTAATAAATGTGTTTCTCACAAATAGATAAGAACTAATTTGAGTAACCCCTCCATCCACAGTGCAGACGACCGAAAAAATAATTATAAGAGTTTTGAGATTTTTCAGATAACAGAAATATCGGAGTGGAACGGCAATAGTGATCTCCCAGAATGTCACTCATACAGACACAAAAATATCTAGCTTAAAATGTAATTTTATGATCCTGGAACTAATTTAGAGGACATGTTTAGTAAAGCTTACACAACACAGCTTTTGTTCTTACCAAGTTTGCTGCTGTCACCTCAGCAAACGACAGGCCTCGTGGACTGATCAGAACATGGTCCTGCTCTTTGCTCACGCGCACCTGAGACAGAGATGATATTAGCATAGCCTTAAAATCAGAAAGGATTTCCATCCTATAAATAAAAGGAACATATTATGATATTTTTTCTTAAGTTATAAATGTTTTATGGTTGATATACAACATGGTCATTATATTCTTTGCACTAAATCCCGCCCACATGAAGCAATTTCTGTGGTTTTCTTGATAATTTCAGTACCTTCCAGAATGAGTCATTTCAGGGCTCTCTCACTTTAAGCAAACATGCTGTTGCTGGCCACGCCCACCCCCTGCCACTCAGGTTGCTGTTGATCCTTTGCACCGACGTCAAAAGCATGAGCGACATGAGTAGGGCTGCAACAACGAATCGATAAATTCGATGAAAATCGATTACTAAAAGCGTTGGCAACGAATTGCGTCATCGTTTCGTTGTGTTGCGCAAAGCTTCCAAAAGCCCCCCCCCCCCCCCCCCCCCCCCCCCCCCCCCCCCGCCACTGTTGCGCACAGACCGGAAGCAAGTCAGATCAGCGCGAGGGAGAGCCGGCAAGTGTTCGGAAGAGGAACATGGCTGAAGCAGCGAGACCCAAAAAAAGTAAAAACTTCTACAGTTTGGGAG